TTGCTCTCTCTTTCCCTGCGTTCTTCTTCCTGGTATTGGAGAGATAGAGCGTAGGCGTAGTCAGCATCGGCTTGCTCCTGGGGAGACAATGCACTTGTTCTATCTTCACTTGGGACAAAAGGAATGTTTGTTCTGTTGCTGGAGTTTCGTGGCCCGGATGGATCCGTCCCGGAAGGAGCATGACCAATGGGGCGAAAATCGCCCGAGAAGAACTCTGCGTTGAATCCATTCACATCAACGAGACACTCCCAGACAATTTCCGCGTGATTGGAATACCCGGCATCGGTGACCAGGGTAAACAGTTGATGCCGCTGAGGATGTTTATAGACAGTCGAGAAATGATCGTTGCGGAACAAGATTGAGAAAGTCCCAGGACGCATTTTCTCGGTAAGGTGGTCCAAGCCAAATGGACTCAACTGAGTCGCGTTCTCAATTTCAGTAAATCTCTCGATTGCGTGAATATCTTTCATGGCTTGTTCCTCGTCCCAAGTTAGCGTCTCCCCTCGGAAGACACGATCTTCAAGTTCCTGTTTGCGAAAGGGCAGTAATTGGACATCTTCATAGTATTGTGCCAGCCTTTTCAGTGCGCCATCGGCTTCGCTTGCGGGTGACGCGACCCAACCGTGCACGAGCGGAACGCCAAAAGTCCCGTAGAGCCGGATGTCGTCTGTATTTTGGAAGGTGCCTGGGGCGTCATCCGATTCCTGCGCCACTGTCAGTACTGATTTCTCGTGAACCATGCACACATGATCTTCGTACCAAAGTGAGTCTAGGGTTGACGTTCATCCCCGTGTGCAGCATCGTCAGGAAGCGACTGAGCGCCTCGATATCCGGAAGTTCACCATCGGTCCCCACGCGGGTCGTCAATTCATCAAACAATGCCTCAATCAACAGACCGAGAGAGACCTGCTCTTTGGTCTGCAGCGCTCTAACAATTGGTGGCTGCGTGCCCTGATCCGCACGTAGTATTAGCGTGTTGACAAGGGCTAGTAGCGGACATGGCCCGTTTTTGTTTTGGACTAGGACCGGAGACTCTCGCAATTTCCCGGTGGGGTCTGTCCAGTTGACATGTCGGATCGAATAGGTCTCGGATCTTTGCTCGTTCTGCTGCTGTTCATCTACTTCGGACAATGCAGCGTTTCTCGATGGTAGTGGTGGAGTTTGATTTGCATCTGCGTTCGGGCGCTGCGGCAATGGTGGCGCAGGTGCAGCTGAGGTATAATCTGGTAGAAGCTGTGAAGTGGGCTCAGCGCTGGCGTGAGAGGGCTCATCGACTTCGATAAGTTCATGTGACGATGGAGTCGTCATGGTAGAATCAGTCACGTAAGGAGTTTCGATGCCGCTCCCCGGAGAAAACGACCCATGATCTGTCTGCCGCGGATATTGCGACGAGTACCCATGCTCATTGCCTATGGGTGCTGTCTGGAAAGGAGATGTCGAGCCATTTTCGCGAGTCGCATCAAGCATCGAAGGCATATTCTGAGGGTCGATTCGACCGTTTTGCCAAGCGGGAGACTGTGTAGCTGCCTCTGGGCGTTCTTCAGCCCATGGAGACTCCGACCCTGACTGGTCTAGAAGCGACAAGCGCGCAGTCATCGGAATATAACCTTCGCCTAAGATTGTATTAGCAGCGACACCAAAGAGAGTGTGCCCGGTAAGAACGTACTCTGACTTAAGTGATCACTTGAGTTATCTCCATGCGATGCTTGTAGGTTATTCGAACCCCAAGGATTCTCATCGGATTGTTTCGCTTTCAAGAAAGGGTTGTTGGATTGGAGTTGGATAGGTGGCTCCCAATTCGCACCGTTGTTTGCCTCTTGCCATTCGTTCGCAGCCATCCTTCTCTGAGTGCCCGCAACGACAATCGAAGGTACGCGATCGCCTCTTCTACCATCTAGTGGCGGCCCCTGCAGTGGTCCCCCAGCATGGACCGGAGGATGTTCAGAGACAGAATGGCTCCTGTCAGGCCTTGCCACTACATCATCCGCCCACGGGTTGGCGGCATCACTGGACAGAGTCCCCACAGGGGACTTCTGAGCTTGTTCCAAAGGCATCAAGTCGAATGCTGGCGAAGTGTTGAGATCCGGGGAATAAATAGAATCCTCTGAGGGTATTTGATAGGGATAGGGAGAGCTTTTTGCCCTTCTGGGACGAGTTAGGCGCTTGGGGGAAGGTGAGGTAGCTGATTTCGCAGTCGGAGATGTTGGTGAGATTGGAGAGCGAGGTTCAGAGCGAGCATTTCCTAGGTTGAGACTATACAGATGCGGTGGTGCACGTTTTCGAAGGACCATGGAGGCGAATTTGTCCTATAGCCCCATGATTAGCCTCTAGGCGTCAATCTGATGAAGACAAGCCCTTGAGGCCCGCCAGTGGTGCAGCGGTTCGCCTTGTTTGGACAAAGGACACAGGATGTCAGATACCTAAAATGGCTTTAAAGTGGAAGGAGCTAGATGATCGGTAAACTCTGCTAACCGCGAAAATCTCTTCGGATGCATGTAGAGCCGTGGCAGAGTCGCAGGTGGCTTGATGCTATTGTTCAGGCCAGGTGAGCATGTATACGTAACCGGTGGCTCAGAAGCGGGCAACACTGCTCAGCCACGGACTAGGATGTGTGTGATATCAACGCCATGCCGGCCCTTTGCCCATTGATTATTACAAATGACAGTGAGCTCGCCGGAATCAGGAGTCAGAATTGATTCCGAAAGGCCAAGGGAGGAGATTAAACAAATCCATATACTACAAGTTAGGAGCAGGCATCCAGATTTCCATAAGCTACCTCTACCTAGGTTACCAGACACTCCGGGGTTGGCGCTGTGGAGAATGACAGTTCGTACACCCAATGGTTACAAGGATCCAATTTTGTTGCCTGGAGCCTGCTCTGAAGTGGGCGTTTAGTTTGTATTGTATGGTAAATACTTGCCTCAGCCACATCCGCATCGTGGCTTAAACCGTAAGATCTTTTCTCCGAGATCTACAATGACAGTCTGATTATGTAATTTGTTATCAAGGTTGCATACTGATGTGGTCCGTGCGTTAGCATCATGGAAAAAGAAAAAAGAGAGGGCAATTTTTGGTTATCAGTGATACGGCAGAGATTGTTGCGCAACATTATTTCCAAGTCCGCATTCGACTGTAGCGGCACGACTACGGCGAGCCATGTGTTACTACTGAAGCTTGAATTGATCTTCTTGAATTCAGTTCCCGACCATGCATTCCTACATTCGTCCTTACCAGCATGTCGCTCTGCGACTTCCATCTGAGCTTACAAAAATTGTCAGATTGGTGCCGAATACGTACGTTAGTGTCCGGAATTGCTTTACATAACTACATAGTGACCTTGGGATCAGAGTAGTATTTCTGGGGAAATATGGGAGCTTCCCCGCCAACACAATAATAGGCCGTCCCTTCTACCTGACCTTCGAGATCGTTGACGTTTCGGGCGAGAACAATGACAATTGCCTTCGCATTGTGTCTCCAGCTGAGCTGCACGCGGAGACTCTCATCGCCGATGGAGAAGGCGAGGGCGACGACGTGGAGGTGAACGAGGAAGGTATCCCGATACGGACCAATCGCGAAATCGTCGACGATGCATCGACCCAGAAAATGACCGCAGAAGAGATCGAGGCTCTGAAGAAAGTTTCTACAGGCGCAGGAAGAGAGATCATTGAGAAGCTGTTGGAGTCGCATTCCGCATTAGACCAGAAGACGGCATTTTCACTCGCAAAGTACACATTACGGAAACGGAAGAAGTTCCTGAAGCGATTCACAGTCCTCCCCGTGGACGTCAGTCTCCTGACTAACTATATGTTGGAAGGGAAAGAGGCGATGAAAACAATGGAGCTCCGCGACGAGTCGATAGGTCTGATTGGGTGCTGGGGTAATGTGCATCACGGAGGACAGCCGTCGTTCGAAGGCGCTGTTGCGTCAAAACCTAACGGTCGCTACCTGGTCATTGACGAAACAGGTGGCTTGGTAGTTGCCGCCATGGCCGAAAGAATGGGCATACTGTACCCTCATGATCAGGAGGACGAGGACCAAGAATCGGCCGAAGGCGCTGAAGAAAATGGCGAGCGACAACAGACGAACGCCATGGCCCAAGCCATGGCCCGTCGCCGTCATATGGCTGCATCAGGCAATTCAATAACTGTCATCCATGCGAACAAGCAGCCTAGCTTATCATTACTGAGATACTTTGGCTACGATCAAGACAATCCCGATGAGTCGCATCCTCTTTACAAGCATATGAAGACCGTTTCGTGGATGCAACTTTTGGACCCTCATGCAGACACCATCTACGCCAACGAGCCGGAAGTAATCCCTGACGAGACACTTGCCACTTTCAAGTCCAACAGACGCAGCGCCTACTACAAAAAGCGGAGTCGATGGGAGCGGGTACGACGGGTTGTCGACGAGGCTCGAGCCGGTAACTTTGACGGCCTCATTGTCGCGACGCTAATGGAGCCGGCAAGTGTACTCAAACACACCGTCCCTCTACTGGCGGGTTCCGCTCCGGTGGTAGTCTATTCTCCCTCCATCGAGCCTCTGACCGAGCTGGCCGATCTATATTCAACTCCCAGGAGGACGGCATACATCACTCGAAAACGAGAGATTATCGCACAGCACAGCCTACAGCAGTCCCTGCAGGGCCAGAGCCAGGATGGCGAGAAGAACCCTCAGGAACCGGACTTCTCGGAATTAGATAAGGACTTCGCACTCGACCCGTCCCTCTTGCTAGCGCCCACGATCGAGACCTCCCGAGTACGTGCATGGCAAGTACTTCCTGGGCGCACACACCCGTTGATGTCGGGGCGTGGTGGCGCTGAAGGTTATATTTTCCATGCTATTCGCGTATTTCCGTCCCATCGGAACATCCAGGCTGCGGGCAATCCAAGCCGGAAGAAGAGGAAGGTGGCCGCCCAACAAGACTCCACAACACCAGCGGAGAGCGGAAGCGGTGTGGACGTTGAAATGCAGTCATGATATATATCATAACATAGAGCCACGAATCCTGCGAGTGAACATACGGTTCTTGTAACGGAGTCATACGAATTCGCAGCCAAGTGTAAGGAATGCATCACATATAATCTTGCGTATTGTATGCGATTAGACTTGCCGCCTCCTTCGAGAGACGGAATATCCGAGACCCAACTGTTGAGTGGACGCCAATTGGATCAACCATTTAAAACAGGCGCATGACAGGACCGGTCAGGCTAGAATATGTAAGAGTGAAATAATAATTGCAGCCCTTCGGCCGAGGGAACCAGGAAATATCTCCGAACGCTGCTGTTACGGGAGCTGGTCATAAAGCAACAAAAAACATGTCCATGTCTCAACAAGCTAGAGGCTCTTTCCCATAAACTTCCTCTTCGCAAAGCTCAGCCACCACTAAGAGTTAAGAAGTCAGTACGTCGAGTCTGTTCAATTAAGGGCCAGTACCAGTCTACCTTTGAAGGCCCTTCACCGCCAGCGTATAACCGAGCATGTAGTCGAATAGCGATCTCCTGTCGTACTTGAGAGAGGTATCTGATAATCAAAACGCATTAGCTTCAGCGCCTAAAACTTGTGAAAGAAGTTGAAACATACTGTCTCAGTGTCTCCGCATCCTGGCGGTCCCGTGGAGGCTCGAAGGCCTGGTTCAAAGGGAAGGCCACGTCACCGGGGATAGCGAAATGATCGAGCGAAACATTAATCAAAGCCTGATATATGCCCATTAGCAGACCCCCTGACGCAATTCCTGTCGCAATCGTACCTTCTCAGCCTCGCGGGAGGTCATGCCCGGTTTGACCTTCCCCAGGCATTCACTGATGAACAACGTTCCGTAGATGAGCATGCGGTCTGCAGGTCCGTTGATCTCAAAGTTCCGGAAGAGCACATTTGCGCGGAAAAGAGACAGGATCTCGTCTACGCAGTCGTAGGACTCGCTGTCGGGAGGCACATCCATATCGGAGACATCGGCGGGCAGCGGGGGGAGGGTGTATGCGGGCCGCGAGTACGGGTGCGGAGGGGGAGGACAGGGAAATTGCCTGAGGGTAGACGTTGAGAGCTGATGTTAGCGATTGGTCCGTTGCAGCATGGCGGAAAATTCGTGCATCACTTGATGCGAAGGTTGGCGAAGAAGCACATGCGTTCGTACCTATTACGGGAACATCCCGGTCCTCAAGGAAGATGGAATGGTAGGCCTAATGAACGTCAGGAGAGAACATGAAATGACATGCCAGAGTATTCAATTGAAATGCTCGTACCGGCATTTTGTCCTATAGCAATAAATATAATCCACCCTCTTAGAACCTGTGTAATGAGGATCCTTCGAGCAATGAATGAAGCGGGATAGTTGTTGTAACTCGTAAGGCGGTGCTGCCGCCAGACAGCGGGAGGTGCCCATTCATGTCATCACCAGATGCGCCTAAACCCAACTAAGGCAAACCATACCTTTGCTGCCTCCCCATGATTTTCCGGCTCCGAATCTCTTTACGCGCTGGCGGAGTTCCGACGCGTCAAGCTTCGTTTCTAAGAGTACCATTTACAGAACGCTAGACAGCAGTGTTCTGGCTCTTTTTTTTTTTTTCCTGTTGAGCCCGCCGACGTTGCTGATTTAGGTTGATTTTTCAAAATGTCCGATTACGAGGATGAGATGGATGTCGACGTCCCGGCACCCAAGAGCGCGATTCAATTCAGCTCCGACAACGCCAGCAAGAGAGCTAAGAGACCAGCTGCAGATCTGCCAGTTGAAGCTCAAGATAACCTACCATGGTCAGTACTTGATGTACATATTTCTGACTACATCGCTAATTGAGCCCGCAGGGTGGAGAAGTATCGGCCAAATACTCTAGACGACGTGTCCGGACATCAAGACATCCTCGCTACTATTAACAAATTCATCGAAGCAAATGTATGGGTCAAAGGCATCAGCGAGGTGTATCCATACTAATCTGATTGCAGCGATTACCCCATCTTCTGCTATATGGTCCTCCGGGTACCGGTAAAACATCCACAATCCTCGCGCTCGCAAGACGAATCTATGGCAGCAACAATATGCGACAAATGGTGCTCGAACTCAATGCTAGTGACGATAGAGGTATTGATGTAGTGCGCGAGCAGATTAAGACTTTTGCCAGTACGTCATATCACACTTTGATTGTTGGGATCTCGGACGGAATATCTAACCCATCAATCAGGCACAAAGCAAATCTTTTCAATGGCGGCCCCGTCGGCCTCCAGTGGCTCTTCACTAGCTTCGTTCAAGTTGATTATTCTTGACGAAGCTGATGCGATGACCTCGGCTGCCCAGATGGCTTTACGGCGGATCATGGAACGATATACCGCGAATACGAGATTCTGTATCATCGCAAATTATACACACAAACTGTCACCGGCTCTGCTTTCACGGTGTACTCGCTTCCGCTTTAGTCCGCTGAAAGAGCAGGATATCCGGTCGCTGGTAGATCAGGTGATCGAAAAGGAGCAAATCAATATCCAGCCAGAAGCCGTGAGTAGCTTAGTGAGGTTGAGCAAGGGTGACATGCGTCGTGCATTAAACGTGCTTCAAGCTTGCCATGCGAGCAGTAAGGATTCTACTATCTTTGAAAGCAGAAATTGGATACTGACTGGGGCCAACTAGGCAAACCGCTGCCGATGAAAAATGCAATGAAGGATGAACCACAATCCGAACCCGAGATTATCACGAACGAAACGATTTATGACTGCATTGCTGCACCACATCCATCCGATATCCAGGAGATCATGACTACACTTCTTTCAACCAGCGATATCACATCCTGTCTTAATACTCTCAACACCCTGAAGGCGAACAAGGGTCTCGCCTTGGCCGACATACTTTCAGCTCTGGCAGAACAGCTGCAACAGCTGGAAGTGCCGCCTCAGACAAGGATCACTTGGCTAGAAGGTCTTGCGGATATTGAATTCCGGCTTTCAGCGGGTGGATCAGAGACCATGCAGACCGGTGGGATGGTGGGCGTGATACGAAACGGGTGCGAGTTGATGGACGCAAAAGCTCGGTGATTCGAGCATTTGGCGTTGGTAGAGAAGAATAAAGTATCTTGAACAGTTTTTGGGGGAACCACTTCCGATGAAAGAGCCAACGGCTTTGTACTCTCGCAATGCATAAGCGGGTCAGCTTCGACAATGCACCGCTCGCAAGACAAGTTCCCGAGCTACGGAGCACGCCAGCCGTCATAGCATTGGAGACGGTTGATGGTGCATCATAGCCAGTATTTCCGAGCAACGGAAGTCAAGGAACGCGAGGCATGGCTCTCGATCCACAGACTAGATAGTTCAAAGAATCTGGGCAGCCCGAAGCTTATCTAGGCGCTCATAATATACCCACACAGCATATTTCGATATCTCATTGTAATGTCCATTTGCTTTAAGAGGCGTCGGAGATAACACCCAGAGAGATTGATTCGGAATGCAAGAATACTTCCTGTCAATGAATCAATTGCATGGGAACCACGCTTGCTTCGGACTGGAGAGTGAGCAATAATAACAATAATGAGCATTCTCAAGATGGACACCGGGGACAACTAGGATCCTATGGAGTGTCTATGGAGTAAAGTGGGGTGCTTTCTGGCTTTCAAAGGAAATTGATACATCATGCTCATGATGGTGAGGATCCTTCAATATCACTTCTTGTCAGCTCAAACAAGATATCTCTGTATGAGAACGTCTACGCATTCTGGAAGCAACTCTTTAACTAGATTATTTGAGCTTATCTGTCTGTAGACACTCTTTTGCAGAAGATGCGTACTGGAGGCAGCCCGAGGAAAAACATGGATTCTCTGCCCCGCCAGAGAAAAAGGTACAGATGTCCGCGGAGTTCCCCGATAGCGAGTCTACCATGGATTTCTCGTAGGTCTACTGGTCAAGGAGTCCTAGAGTCTCCATTATCCTCGTCGTCTCTTGAGCCTTAAAGCTAAACTTCCGCTTCCCAGCCAAAGTGGACGATCGCAAGGATACGGGAACAGCGCATCGCTCTCTCCACTCGGTCAACCACTGACTTGCCGTTATCTTTTCTGATAGGTGGTATTAGCTAAAATTTTCTCCTCTTCTTGACTCATTGCTTGCAGTGCGCCCTCCGCGTTGGCCTTACAATTCCCCTCGGAACATGCTACTGGTCAGATGCAGCACTTACCTTGGGACATGATTAGTCTAGTGCTAGACAGGTCTATCGACCATTTATCAAGACAAGCTCCGAAATACCCCTCAGTCTGAGCTAGAAGAAGATTGAGTTGTTAGCAGTGGTTGTCTGGTGTAGTCCCCACTGTGCCTTGACTTTAACGAGGTCATCATGATAACAGTCAACGGCATGCTTCCGCGGGGTTGTTCTCCAATTGTCTGCTGATAGATCAAAATATTTAACTAATCGCGATATCCACTCAAAGATCTCGAAATTCTGGTTTTTCTCTACTGCTGTCGATAAGTCAACTTGCTGAGCAGCGTCATCATGCGGACTTCCGTGCAACCCACCAGCGTCCTGCTGGCCCTTATGGCCATGCCCCTCGCATCTGCAGAAAAGGTTCTTGGAGCTTATATCTTCGCTCGTCATGGTGATCGGACCCCCAAGGTGCTGGGCAACACTCAACTCACCGACCTGGGATACAAGGAAGTATTCCTCACTGGTAGCTACTACCATGACCGCTACATCAACTCCAACTCCTCGCACTACATTCAGGGGATCAGCGAGGAGATTGTCAATCTCGACCAGATCAGTGCTTCAGCGCCCTCGGACAATGTGCTTCAGAATTCGGCTACGGGTTTCCTGCAGGGCGTCTATCCCCCGTCGGAACCATGGCCAGTCAAACCCTGGGGAATGGCACGACAGTTGAGGCGCCCTTGAACGGCTACCAGTTGATCCCTCTGGAACTCATCGAGACCGGTACCAACAGCGAGAGCAACACTTGGTTACAGGATGCGACCCAGTGCCAAAACGCCGAGGTGAGCAGCAACAACTATTACAGCTCAGCGCTGTACAAGGATCTGCTCGCCTCCACGAGCGACTTCTACAAGTCGCTTTCGCCGTATCTGAACGACACGTTCACCGACGCCAAGATGAGCTTCAAGTCCGCCTACACCATCTGGGACTTCCTCAACGTCGCCTCGATCCACAACTCGAGCAGCGACTATCCCTCCGCGGAGATCCGCGAGAAACTGTTCCTGCTCGCCAACGTCGAGCAGTACAACCTGGCCTACAACGCCTCCGAGCCTATCCGCGCTGTCGCAGGCTCCACCCTCGCCGGCGAGATGCTCCAGGGTCTCAACGAGACCATCACCTCTAAGGGCAAGAGCAAGCTGAACATCCAGTTCGGCTCGTACGGCACCTTCCTTTCGTACTTTGGCCTGGCGCAGCTGCCCGCCGCAACGGTCAACTTCACCGGCATCCCGGACTACGCCTCCTCCATGGCCTGGGAGCTCGTCACCAACTCCACCTCGGACGAGTTCCCCTCCGCCTCCGAGATCAGCGTCCGCTTCATCTTCCACAACGGCACCATCAGCAGCTCGTCCGCCCCGGCCGAATACCCCTTGCACGGCCAGTCGAGCGCCACCATCCCCTGGTCCGACTTTGTGGCGCAGACCGAGAAGATCGCCATCACGAACGACGAGCAGTGGTGCAAGGCGTGCGGAAACACGGACGGCGCGTGCGCTGCTTACACTGTCTCCTCTACTGGATCCGACTCTTCCACTGCGGGCTCGAAGTCCTCCGAGGGTGGGCTGTCGCGACCTGTCGCTGGTGTTATCGGTGCCATGGTCACTCTGGCAGTGATCTTGGGTCTGGAAGCGGTCTTCCTGCTTTTCGGTGGTTTCAGAATCACCAAGAAGCGGAATGCTGTGTCTGAAGTTGAGACCACAACTGTTGAGGGGGCTAAGAAGATCTGAGGAGATGCATCAACTTTTGATGTTGATTAAGGAAAATAACGAGAGAATTTGAATGACTTCACTAAAAGCGAGACTCATGATCTTGCAATGGTACTAGCAATTAAGATATGCTCAATGAGATATGCATATATGATACTCCTGCATATAAATGACTTGGAATGAATGTTAAAGCGGAAAAGAAACCGTTGATACAGAGTACTTGCGAAGGCACTTGTCCCACCAATATGGGCACCCTAAGATTAAGCATCTATCCATATGAATTCAACCATAAAGGAAAGAGGTTAAACAAATAAGATATGCCAAGCTATCCTAATAACTATAATGCCTGTCGGCCTTTTCTACATTTGTCAAAATCCTCACATAACATGGGTAGTGGTTAACATCCAGCATTAAACACTGCCCCTATTCTGAATACTACTAGAGATGCTAATACGTAATATCCAACTATTAACTATCTAGATAGATAGTGTGCGCCTCTATTAAATTAGGATTTATCTGATCACTAGACCAGAGTCTAGTGACTTATCAAGTAACACTCCACGAGGCCTCTTCCACCATCTCCCCCAATGATATCCTAATAACCATGCGCTCTCCGGCCTCTACACTCTACGTACGCCTCCTTACCCTTTACCATACCTCGTCTCCTTAGATTTGAGATGACTTCGCCCTAAACAACTATACTCTGAACTGCTGACGTATCACTAATTTATGATTGACAATGATCACCAACCACGGCACGAGCTCAGTCTCAGGATCCACACCATCCGCATCCAGTCGGCAATAGTCTAATCCTAATCCAATCCATAGCACAGCCTTTCCTCTTAAGATTCGGCTTATTGGCGAGACAAAATGGCAAGAGGAAGCGACGAGACTTGCGCGTTCCTGATGATCCTGATCCGCTCACGGTGGACTGGACTCTGAGTCAGTTGCCGTCCGGACCGGCTCGAAACATGAGCGCAGGATCAGGGCAGGATGCGTAGGGCTATGATGATCGCTCAGGGGTCCACGACATCTATGCTTGTGTGTCGCTGATGCAGCCGCCTTCTAGTCGTCTGGGAGGAGGATGACGTGGGTGGACATGTGGTTATATTCCTACTTATCCCCAGATCGCATTTCCCATACCGATCGCGGCTTTCATGTCCTTCCTCCAGCTAGTAGACCACCTGTGATGAATCTCCCCGCGCATAGGTTCATGTCAAATGCAGCGATAGCGTACCTGGCTCTGCGGCAGCGTGATGACGCGTCAAGCCTTGAAATCCAATGTTCTCTGCGCGGCGCTTCTATTCCTCATCGCTGTCTTTGCGTCGAGCCTTCGCCTTAGCTTGATACAGGGCCCTCTGCTGGCGGACGGGGATTCGAAGGGTGCTCCGGCGCGAGCTGAGGATGTTCGCAATGCAGATAAGATCCAACCGACCAAATCTGTCGCACCGGCTAGACGACCGGCTATCAATGATCTTGTGCCTGCGCAGAAGCCGCCCTCGGCGCAGTGGACGATTGACGAGGAGTTTCACCGGGACGGAGTGATTGTTATGGGAAGATTGGAAAGCGAAGACGTGAGCTGGGTTATGAAGGAGCTGCCCGAGTAAGTTCTTTGCTTCACATCTGTCCCTGTTTGGGGTTTACGTATAGCCAGCTGATACTCGAGCAACGAACAGCTGGCAACATGCGATCTACACCCTGGATGATCCAGACGCGCCGCTCCGAGTGAAGAAGAATAAAGGCCGAGAGGCCAACGTGTATCTGCAGTACATCGTCGACCACTACCACACACTCCCCGCAACCATCATCTTCCTCCACAGCCACCGCGCCGGTATCAAGGGCTGGCACACCGAGTTCTACGACCACAGCAACGTGCGGACGGTTCGCATGCTGAATGTCGATTTTGTCCAGCGCAACGGCTACGTCAATTTGCGCTGCGCGTGGTCCCCCGGCTGTCCGGACGAAGTGCAGCCGTTTCGCGAGCCCCGAGACGAAGGCCGCCATGCGGAGCATGCATTTCCAGACGCTTGGCATTACTTCTTCAACGGGACGAAAGTCCCCGAGATTGTTGGGGTTGCTTGTTGCGCTCAGTTTGCGGTGTCGAGGAAGCAGATCCTCGAGCGTCCCCTGAGTGATTATCTTCGGTATCATCAGTGGCTCATGGAAACACCGTGGGATGATGATACTAGCGGGCGAGTTATGGAGTACATGTGGCATATCATATTCGGCAAGGAGCCTGTATAGTAAGTTTTGCCTTCTGATGCTCGAACTCATTGACTGATGATATCAAGTTGCCCTGTTATGGAGCAGTGTTATAGTGATGTATATGGAACATCTGACTCAAACGAAGATAGATGGGACTCTGTCTTTGAAATAGGCTGATTCAATCCAATATACGCGTCCCAGATATTGCATATGATGACACCCTCTGGTATGCAAGGCGATGTGCACGATTTGATGGAGTATGAATGCTTCCTCACTAATGAAAACTCGCAAATACCCTGATGAAATCCCGGTGTTATGGACCCTCCAGCATCAGAACCAGTCGTACTAGAAGACCATAGGACTTGGCTTCCGTAGCTAAATTCTCGCTACTGGAAACCAGTATCAACAACTAGTAGGAAATGAAAGCCTGCGTTGATGTCGTGTCGCAAGTCGCCAATCAAAGCAAGAAACTTGAAAACATAAAAGCAATCTACGTTCTTAATATCCCAAGTGCCGTATTAGATAATCTTCCTAGAGTTGTTGATGTAGAGGACCGATAGGATAAACATGCGCCGGCAACATGACGTGACCTCGAAACTTCCCCAGAAAGCTCCAACAACTTCCGCAAATTCGTCTCCGGGCGCCAACCACCAACCTACGCTCTCCCTCCCCCACTCAAGAGGCTAGATGGGTTATGCTTTACAAGTCTATGCATGACCTGCAGGTTCTGACATCATACACATCGATTGAGCCTGAAATTCTATTTCACCGGAAGCTGTTAACAGCTGTAAAGCTCAAAACTCGCTCGGCTCCGTGGTAGAGCTGAGATCACAGAAACCACTTCGCTATCCCTACAGACCTCCTATATCCATCCTTAGAAATACACCATGTCAGCGCATTACACCACCGAGCCCCCGCCTACCGCATCCGCCACCCTGCACACCACCTTCGGCCCCATCCACATCGCCCTCTTCGCCAACCAAACCCCCCTCACATGCAAGAATTTCCTCCAGCACTGCCTGGACAATTACTACGCCGGCACAATCTTCCACCGCATCGTCCCAGACTTCATCGTCCAAGGCGGCGATCCCACCGGCACAGGCTCAGGCGGCACCTCCATCTACGAGTACCCGAGTTCGAATACGATCCGGAAGCGCGCGATCCGAACGAGAAGGTGGTGCTGCGGGATGAGCTGCACAGCCGATTGCGCTTCAACCGGCGCGGGCTGGTGGGAATGGCGAAGAGCGAGGACGGGACGTACGGGAGCCAGTTCTTCATCACGCTGGCGAACGCGGAGCGGGAGCTGAACGGGCAGTGTACGCTGTTTGGGCGCATCGAGGGGGACAGTATCTACAATGTGCTGAAGATCGCGGAGGCGGAGCGCGTGGAGGGGACAGAGCGTCCTGTTTACCCTGTGAAAGTTGTTTCGTGCGAGGTCGGGGAGCTGGGGCCGTTAGCTGGGAAGTTGAAGAAGCGGGAGACGATAGCTACTGCGCCGGCGGCGGCGGCGGCGGAGGAAAAGCCTGCGGCTAAGAAAAAGAAGAAGGCGAAAGGGGGCAAGACACTGTTGAGTTTTGGCGGCGACGAAGGAGATGAAGATGTTCCTGTGCGGCCATCGAAGCCCAAATTCAACCCGACTCTAGTCGTCGACGCCGGCATCCCGCCGGCCAACGACGCGCCGAAGAAGACATCACCAGAAGCGGAGCAGCAGAGCCGGAAGCGCCCTCGCTCGCCCTCCCCAAAACGAGCCCCGTCCGCGGAGCGCAAACATCGTCCCAAGACTCCAGACCCCTTGACACAGCTTCCCCTCCCCGACCCTGAAAGCCCCGCCCGCTCCCCACCCCAATCGCCTCCAGCACGCCAGTCGATCCTATCACGGACAAAGGCCGAAATCGAGAACCTCAAAGCCTCGATGCGGCGCACCGTCGCCACAGGCCCGGCAGATACCGGCCGCAAGAAGTCTGCGCTAGAAGCCATGATCCCCGAGACCGCCATCCGCGGCCGCAAACGCCCACCCCGGGGACCGTCAACGGCGCCGGCCGCGGCAGCAGCACCAACGGCGTAACGGGCTTCAGCAGCGCCGCGGAAGACGAAACCCTGCGGATGTTCAACGCCTTCAGAGCGAAGCTCGAAAGCGCAGACGCCAAGTCCGCGCCTCAAGAAAAGACTTCAATCTCAGTCTCAGCGTCACCCTCAGCCTCAGACGCCACGAAACACGCCTCCGAACAAGCCACCGCCAACGCCAACACGGAACCCGAAGACGAAGAAGCCCAACTCTGCGACCTCCACTTCATCGCCAACTGCCAGTCATGCAAATCATGGGATGACACGGGCGCCGCAGAGACAGCCGCCGCCGCCGACGACGACCGGGACTGGTTGACGCACGAACTCCGCTTCGGCAAGGATATGCTCGGCAAAGACCTGCGGTGGAAACGCGAGCACCCGGACGATGTCGACTCCCTTGTTGTGATTGATCCGCGGGAGCGCGAGAAGGAGTTGGTTGGTGGGATGCGGCGCGGCCTTGAGCGTGATCGTGAACGGGATCGCAAGCGGGAGCGTGTTGGCGATCGGGAGTGGGATCGAAGGAGGATGGAGAAGCCTTGATGTAATGATATATCAAGTGGAACTTGAAGTATACCTCAACATGGTCTGTCCGCCAAACTATAGAGTGCAGTGAAGCCTAACCCTTAACCCTGTGTCTCACAAAGGTTCTCTCTAGAAGGGCCATCTACCAGCTCAGTGAGGCCATAGACATGCCGGCCATGAAATATACAGATAGTTGAGCCTTGCATATACATGAACAGTGGTATATTTGCCGTGTTTGGAATGTTGCTATGTACTGAAATCATGAAACCAGTCATACATCACAAGACATAAACATTGCTCCTCAGCACCAAGGCCCATCATTTCGTTTTCTGGATGGACTCGCTGAGATAACCTCCAAGTTAGAATCATCCGGCCCCAAAAATTCATAATCTTGTTCAAGGTGTTTGTTGTTGTTGCCCATGTTGGTAGAATAGAAGGAGTTGAAGAAAGAAAGAAATGAAAAGAAAAGAAAAGGAATTAGAGTCGTCATTATGTGCCGTTATCGACCGCAAAGTACTTTGTTGCTCTACTTTGCTAACTCGGCAAATGGGAGAGGGTGGCATAAATTGAAGACGGTGTCATGAAACGTATGACTTGAATTTCGTAAAAGTTCAGATCGCCCACCGAATACTCCACGCCGTAGGGATTCCTCGTTGCTGACCTGGTTCCACTCGTGCGTCTCTGGCTCATACCGTTACCTCCTCGCTTTCTTCATTGACTCGAAGCCAAGTTAGTAGATGTCATGCAACATCAAGCCTTCCTGCGTCGTTTCGCATTGCCGCCATTTCCCTTACCTCCGTGAGATTCATTGAGCCCGGCCGGGCCAGTGTATTGTGGTACCTCGTCCACGTTAGTGCTGGGACTGGTTGATTCACTGTCGGTGAGAGTTTCGACGATCCGCCCGGAATCTCCGCTGTGATTCTTGTGACCAATGGGTGTGTGCCCGTTTGTCCCTGAGCCAGCATGATAGCCAGCACCGTCATACCCATTGAAGAAAGCGGGGCTCTGCTGTTGCGCGGCGGTCGACGTATCGAAAAGATCGCCCTCGGGAGGGATTTGGTCAAAGTCGAACAGGTCGCTTCCATCCTTGATGTCTTCCGCGCCTGTAGTGACGGGCGCGTCGACTGGTGCGTGCGCGGGAACCGAGCTTGTTGTATCGCCAAAATCCATGTTAGGCTTATTGTGCTCAAGGTCTCCAATGTCCGTGAAATAGTCGTTATTGAAGATTTGGTCAAGATCAAGCACGGGTGGTGGTACGCTTCCATTTTCTCCTCCTGCAAGTCCCGGAATGGTCCCGGTGGGACTAAGCGGTTGCAAGAGATTGGTCAAGTTCTGTACAGAACGATCTTGTTCGGCTTGCATCTTCATCAAATTGTCTATCTCGGCACGAGTATTTGCAAGACGGCCATTATAATTATGCGGCATGGGTGGAGGCGTCGGAGTTATCAAAGCATTGTTGGAAGGCACTGGAATATTTGGATCGGTGTGAGATTCGTTGGCCATGAGTCGGAGCATATCTGCCCGTTGATTTGGGGTGAGTGGAGAATTACCGCCAGAAGTCTCGAGGGATGAAAGCACGTTGGGAAATTCAGCAAAGGTCGTGGGAATACCATTCCGCGCATTCGTATTCTGAATGACAGACATTATGTCGCTCTGGGGATACTGCCGGTTCTGCGAATTCGTGGCATCCTTTTGCGTAGGGCTCGTTTCAAAGACCTCCTCGACGTGGCCAGCCTGAGCAACACTGGGTTGTCGGCTATGGTTTCGAGACTGTGAACGATTATATGTGCTACCTGCGGGGGAGAGCGTTGTAGCGCGACCATTCTGACGCTCAGTCGTCGGAGGAGCCTTCAGCAGCAAAGGCTGTTTCTTCATCGATCGCTGTGCATTAGGGCTATTGAGATTGGCCGCACCTAGCGCGCTCAGTGGAAAGTCATCACCCACGTCGACCACGTTACCTTGATCCTGTGAGATGACACCCGCAAAAGAATTGGCAAGATTCTGCGGTCCGTCCTGTCCCTGGAGGCTGCGATTATACACAGTGGCCAGGAAAGTAAGGATTGCATTTATGGAATTCTCATGGCGATTATGCTGTTCCTGAAAATTGGCAGCCTGCGCATAGAGCTGTTCGTGCTCTCTCCTCAGCTTGCTGATGGTGTTGGAAATGATTTGCTGCTGCTGCCGAATGGCCTGCAATTCCCGGTAGACGCCCGCAAGTTGGTCCTTGGGCATCATGCTTCCGGGGACTAAAGATAGTTGGCGACTGCGGTTACGATCATCCCGGGACGCACCATCTTCACCATAGTCATCATTTTCGTTCTCGTCGACCTCCTCCGTCTTCACTCGCACATTCCCCTTTCCTGACTTGCTGCCTTGCCCGGCGGTGTTCTTGGGTTTTTGGATCAACCACAGTAGATCCGGATGACCACGTTTGAAGTAGGGATTCGCATATTCACTGGGACTCTTGTTCTTCCGCTCGCTGGCTCGCATCGAGTTGTCAGACAGACCCACCTTCTTATGGAATCCGTACATGTTCAGCTGACGAACAAAAGAAGCATAGTTATTGTGCTTGAAGAGTTCGGGAATCAAAGTTTTGGCGAATTCATCTTCGTCCAACACGATGAAGGAGTTTCCATCATCAGACCATCGTATAAGATCGGTATTTTTCGACTCGTCGAGGAAACTAAAATCATAGCAGTCAGCGTCAAGTTTGACAAGCCCATCTCAGTAGTGGCATACCTGCTCAATTTTTGTACAAAAGGGGGTATCTGTTTTCTTTTTGCCTGCGCCTCTCTTTTTGCGACCAAGGCCCGCCGATAGAGTTCATCCAGGCTTTCTCCCCATCCTCCAGGTTCTCCAGCTCCACTGCTATGGTCGGAGTAGGCAGACGGCGTTTGTTCATAACCGCGACCCCTATTGACTAGCTGATTGGGTAGCTGTCGGCGAGCAAGCTGGGTAGATGCGGTGGCCGTGGCTCCCGGAACGTCTTGATTCGTCGTATAAGGCGCGACGTTGTAAGAGCCGGCATCAGTGTAGGGCGGCGTTATGACATTGGGAGGGTTCTGACCCCATTGCAAAAACTGATCATTCGATAACTGAGAGCCGGGATTCGCGGCGGGGTAGTTCGAAATTGGGCTCAGTTGGGGATGAACAGTAGGGGTTGTGCCAGGAGCAGGTCTTTTGCGAGTTACACCTTGAGAACTCATTACAGGCGACAGACTTGTCGACCTCTGCTTGGTCGGAAAGTAATCGCTCGATCAACTATTGCGGTATTCTTTGGTTGGAATCAGGCCAAGGGGCGGCGTTGAAGATTTCTAAGATTTGACGCCAGAGGATGTGAATCGCTTCGAAGGTTTGTCCAATACTCGGGTGACTTGTAGCCGGGGAGAGGGCAAGGAAATGGCGCAGTGGCACAGCCTGTCAGGATAATGGCAACAAAAGCCCGATCGTGAATGTCTTTTTATCGCCCAGAGGGAACCAAGGAACACCGGGATGAGAGCGGCGTTGCTGACGGCAGGAAAGACGAGAGTTATGGACGGCGGAGACGCGACAGACGCGACAGACGCCTCTCGCAGGTCTGAATGCAACGATGGACAATAGACAGGAAGCACCGGGAGACACTTCCGCAACCACCAAGGATAATGACAGTGGGATGGGCGAACTTATTGCTACTGGATACAGTCCCCTCTTAGGCGGTCGAGCACTGCGAGCGCCAAATATCTGCTGACGAACAGAGACTGTGGGTCGGAAAAGCTGACAGACACGATGTACACGATGCCAACGGCCGCTGCACAACCAAGATGACGATGAACAAAGGCTGTACGATGAGGGGAATACTTCCTGGTCGATTCGGGATGCTTAACAGAAAGAACAGCAAAAACGCAAGACGGCCAACGAACTGGCAAAATCCCTCTTGTCGAGATGGCTTGGCGGCGGATTATGAGGTCAATCCTGCTGTGACTGCCCAAATCTCGCCTGCCGATTGGCTTCTGTGATGAGTCAGCGCTCTAGTGCCCAAAACACGTGCCGCTGACCCGCTTTACATTGAAACCCGAAATTATCTGGAGGTCATCAACATGCAGAGATTGACAGCTGTTAAGGTCGATATGTAATATCTTCCAGGCTGCTGAGCTTCTGCGATTATATGATATTGTGTTATTGAAATCGAGCTGTGGCCTCATAATGGAAAGTCATCCTCGAATTGCTATATAGTATCATTCCCAAAACTGGGACTGCCCACCTATTGCCTATCCAGAGTGCCAGCCCACTTCAATTAATTTGCCGACCAATCATCTAGCGCTATCATAAGAACCGTGTCGCCGTCTTTACTGTTTCTGGCCTAAGGCATATCTTTGATCCAAGATTTGCGGTCAACTTTTCTGAAGCTTTTCCCATACTTCTCTATCTCGCGTTCCCTTTGTGTTTCGATCTTCAGATCTAGAAGCTTCAATTGATTTCCATTGATTTCCATGTGCCCTCTGCGTATTTGCGACTCCTCCTGCAAGGGACGAACAAACTCCGATACATAATATGGAATGTCAGATCAATACAGTGGGATAAATGAACAACTTCTTTACAGTGTCACATCGTCGCCTATGACTCTCTTGAAATGGTCCAGTGCCATCTGCCATGAATCGGGACTGTCCTTGCTAAATTGCTCGACCTTCCTGACAGCTGCCAAATCCGCATCCATCCGAGCCCTGTTGGTCGTACCGTTCAGGACAGTTGTGTTACCCAGGCCCAGGACAAGACAGTATAATGCTGCTGCAGGACTGATCTCGGCCTGAGTCGCCAATGATTGAACCGCATCTGATCGAACTAGTTCCGGATTGGCCGTCAGAGTCCAAAAGCTTTGGTAAATGATGTCGTGGGCCCGACAGAAGGCGCGCACTGGGACGTCGAATCGCGTATCAGGATAGAAGCGATTCTGGACCACAGCCGGTTTAACCGTCGCACGGGCATAAAGTTCCTTCAGGATTGGTAAGGTACAGTTTGATATACCCAGGTTGCGGATGTGATGAGGCACGTATGATTCGAGCGTGAGCCAAGCTTCCATAGTTTCAGCCATTGTGGACAGAGGCGAGTGGAGAAGAAACGTATCAATGTAAGCATCTTCAGCACCCGACGAGGCATCTGACGCGCGAAGATTGTGGAGAGATGACTTGACCGAGGCATGAACCTGATCTGCCACCGAAGTTCTGGGATCATAGGGCATTTTATTGGGGTCCTGCCCTTGAACGGACGTAAATTTTGTCTGAATCTATTCTTACTTTAGCAAGCGTCAAGAGACCGTCATATTCAGGCTTCAACTCACGTATAAATCTTCCCGTCGAAGTATTCCATCATGAATCGCTCTGCGAATACCTTCTCCTACCAAATCCTCCTGGTAATGCTTTGGCTGACCAGCCGTATCAACCGCTCTGAATCCTGCATTCAGTGCCTGGTACACCAAGTCGGCTGTCCGGTCTTTCTTCCACGCTGTGCCGTATAGAAAGAGCGGAAGATGAACAGGCGGTGCCTCTTGCACTGAACGCAGAATGTATTTATCCCACGGCATCTTACCGATAGCAGCTCGTGCCATGAAAACGTAGTAACTTTCACAATCGGACCCACGAACTGAACACGGAAGCAGTTCCGAAGGCTACTGTCAATGAACTCCCAGGTCCTGAGATGTTTGTGACCGATAGTCCGAGGAACATTTTTGGCGGAGGGGTTGTTGATTCCGGACCAATCATGCAATCGAACATATATACGTGACTTGACCTCATCATGATCTAAGTCTTCTTAGGCATAAAGCCATAGTTAAATGCCGCTATAAGGCTTTCTGAAACTGATGGTCTAATCAAATTCGAAGATATCAGAGCATGATAAGATGCCGGGAGAAATCCGACATCTGGGATACAGAGATATTCTGCGATCATTGCGACTATTCCTTCTACAATTGCATCTCGGTCCAGTTTCAAGGTATCAAGAAGACAGCAAACGCTTCTTCCCGTATGGTATTCATGAATCCGCTGATTTTCCTGCCGTTTGTCCGCCGAGATATCCGGTAGCATCAGCCCCAATGCTGCTCCACTACAGTTGATGTTACATGCAGAACATCGCTTGATGGCTACCTTCTGGGGTTTCGCAGTCTCCTTCCAACTAGGCAACATCTTTTTTTCTTCCCCTCTAACTGGTTGTCAGAACTTTAATGACAATATCGTTGTGCTGGGGACCAAACTATATATAGCGGAGAGGCTGTGCAGTACCCTAGTTTGGCGGTTTTGCATTGATTTGATGAACCCTGGACTTGGGCTGCAAATCCTGTGCAGGAGGTGCAGTTAGTGTAGAGTCCTATCACATCGGACTGATTTCTCTAAATTCGGATTCTCTCAATCCATCGCTGTGTCGTCCATGATTTCTATAACTTGTCTTTGAAGCAGAGCAGCGATCTTGGAATGACATCATGAACTTAATGTATTCCTCTGCCACACCTTAAAACATCGAGAGATGATCCATTCCGCTGTTTGTGATTACAGGAGCCAAGACGGCTGAGTTGGAAGCATTTTCCAACTATGGTATCCATTGCAACGATCAGCTCGACCGAATGCAAGAGGATGCTAGGATTCTGGATTTTGAGCTCTCAACTCATTACTCATAGCAGACGCAGCCACAATAATTGACCCACAACCTCTCCAGTTTCTCTGGATCAATCACAAACCATCATCGACTATCTCCAGGGTTCATCTGCAGCCATGAATGGCGGTAGTCCCCGCCTTACCCGTCTAGCAGCGATGAACGCATTCTTGGCAGGCATAAACCGGATCAATGGATTATCAGACTTCCAGGCAGCTGCTTTCCGATGCTGGAGAAGATGGATATCCTGTGTCGATCTTCAGGCTCATTGCTCAGACATGATGCTTGACTTTTGAATCTGGAGAGGCTTAGAGACGCATTTGCTCTTTCACAGTTGACCGTTGGAGCAGATCATCCACGTCACCTGTTCTATTTTGAATTTCTCGGCAGACAGACCGCTGTGGAATATGGACCCTGGGGATAATATCGTTGGTTCCGGAGTCTGGCGATCAAGGGAGGCACGCCAAGAAGCGATGCACAGGATCCAATATATAAACGCGCTGCAATTCACCGAAGAGTCTACATCTTCAAAACACAAGAAACATACAGAAATTCGCTTCTAGTCTCATCAGTCCAATTCATTTCCACAACTCGAATCCAGCAACAATGCGTCCCTTGCAGTTCCTCGCTCTTTCTGGCCTCATGCTCGCGAGCAACGTTGCGCTCGCAGCCGAGCTCGAACGTGACGATGTCCCCAATCGCTGCTGGGACGTCTGCAGTCCTGTGGTGGGCATCGCCCAGCAGTGCGATAACACGCATCGCGACGACGACAGGGCCGAGATGAACTGCATTTGCGACTGGAACCAGGCACCGACTTTGGTTCCCCTCTGCGAAGCATGCATCTCCCAGTTCAGAAACGACACTCGCAATGGCACTCGCAATGACAACGACCGTGACAATGACCGAGACAATGACCGTGACGATGACCATCATGATGACCATGACGACCGCAGAGGGATCCATGACAATGGTATGGTGGCTTATGCATGGCCTGTGTCTTTCCCAAACCATGGATAGAAACTGATACAAATCTGTACAGATGCATATGATATCCTCACCTCCTGCTCCTTCTCCACTACTACTTATAACGCGGCTGCTGCAACCTCTATCCTGAGCACTGCTACGGGTACTATCACCCCGACTGCGACGAACAATGCCGGCGGCTCGACTGGATCCGGCGGTAATACTGGTGACTCGCAGTCCAGCAACACCAACAACGGCGGCAACGCTCAACCGAACAACAATGCGGCGGCTGGCTCTACAGTCCCGAAAGCTGCGTCCGTGGCGGCCGTTGTGGGGTTGATCGGTCTTGCTTGGCTGTGAGGATTAATTAATGACCAGCTTTATGAGGAAAACGAGCTAGATTTGAGGGATTTTGAGCCAGATTTTTAATGATCCACCTGGTTATTGATTGATGACATGATGCTCTGCATACTCGTTCTGATGATTTGGGTTTTATGATGTTCCTCGCAGGTACCTGTCTACACCTCCAGCCTTCAACATGAGCTGCAGTTTCTTATAGGAGAGCAATGATTCAAGTGACTTTATCTATACCGATCCGGGTGTCGTTCCTGAAGTAAAAGAAAGCACGATGTGCGAGTAAGATATGTACATTTCGACTGCCAATTCTATAAACTGGCGTCATTTCTGCAGAATACGCACATATCAGAGTATCTACCCCTCTATATGAACATGGATTCTTCAGGAACTTTGTTTCAAGAACGGATATGTGATTTCGATAAGGAATCCATCTACATCATTGCGGAGTGTTGGGGAATGCCCTATGGAGCATCTCTACTAACCCCTTACTTCGCCCAAATCACACTGCATACGGTGTGTGAGTACATTTCAAGGGAATTTTTACTGACTCAACTTGGTTCTTTATTGAACTTAATTAGATCCCAGGGGATGCCATGTCCGGTTGCTTGCCACGGAAGGATCTCATATAACTTCGAGTATATAGCAAGACTGAATTGACATAGTTGCGTGGTCGACTGGAATCAATATATATCATACATCAATCAAAGAGGCATGACAACTCAATGTATTTAACCAATGCTCAATTATCAGCAGCTCATATCCGAGGATCGTAAGATTTATAAACGAATTCAGGGACAGTGCGAGAAAGCCATCAAGTTCTTGTTTCCGGTATGCTTCTTGAGATGATAGGTGACAAGCGAAGGCCAGTCGAAATACATCTACGCTCCCTTAAAAATAAAGGCTTCTTGCTGGTGCTCAGTGTGCTTCCTGATATCCAGTTGCGAAGCAAAGTGCATGAGCGAGGCTTAAAAAACCTGCATGGGCAGGCTCTGTGGATTTCGAATGCAGCCTCTAAGATGCCCATTACTCCATTGGCTGAGGGTATCAAACTACAATCTGATGCTGTCAGACCATGAAACGCATATGCAATAATGCAAGGGCTGTTCTAGTCTGCCTCGGGAAGCACAGCGAATGTCAATCCTAAGGTCACGTCACATCTGGTTGCTGCAGATACTTGATCTGATATCATAATGTCCAAGTTGGTTCAACCACTTATGATAGGATAAGTATATATATCCATACTGTACCACTGTACTCGGGTTGCAAAGCAGAGTGCATGCAGCCCTGACATCCATCAGACAAGCACACAAGCCGAAAAGAGCGAGTACAATCACAAAATGAGCTTGTGCGTCGCTGTCAGCTGCCTCCCCATCCTGCCGTTTACATATCTGTTCCTGTGGTTTGTCGTTCCTCTTTATGATAAGTTAAAGAGGCGCCTTGTGGCGTTCTACTAGCTATCAGGTGGCGAGCAGGGATGATGCAGGCTGCCTAAGGTATCTACCCTGCTCATGCCTGCGTCTGCATCAATCGATTGCACCATCCGAGTCGAATCAGTAATCGACCAGAAATAATGCTACAGTAGACACTCAAATTTGACATCACGCATCGATGACATGTTTCGTGAGCAGTACTGGACCTTCTACGTGCAGCGGGCCAGCGGCTCCTGATGATCATGTCGTCTCTCCTCCGTTAGCCCCTGGTCTCCAGTGGCAGTGCCACTGTCAGTTGGTACAGGTCGGAGTGCGAGATGATGACCGGTTTCTTTTTTTGCTTTTTTGGCCTTGATCATGCGGTTTCCGGCAATAACTTGGACCCCAGTCCTTGATAAGCAGCGATGGCTGGATAACACCAGGAAGGAGTCTGGTTACTCGGTGCGTATAGGCAGAGAATAAGCATCAGGGTCATGACGACTTGACGACGGCCATGTGCGACATGAGCGACGGCTGTCTCTATGCTTCTCACGCTGCTGACTGGAACTCGGAGGATTGACAACCTTGCCGTAAAGTGATTAGCATGTACTCGAGTCCATCCTCCATAGCCATGCCCGGTTTAGGGGGTGGTGTATAATGAGATTTGTCATAACCTCGCCACGGCCAAGTGGATCATGCGGTTCTGCTGCCATGTATGGCAGGATGAGACCGTATTATAATGTCACTGCAGACGCACCTGACAATACTTATGAGAAATCCTTCACCTTCATTTCACAGGATGATGGGTTCTGTTACCACTGGTGCTGAGCGTGACGAGATCGAGCAACGCGATTTGCACTCGTACTCCCTGCCTTGTCTCACAGTCATGCTGGATTTCGAGTATCCCGAATCTGTTATAGGCGGATTTCGATTTCGGACCATCCTTTGGCTCACTGCCTTCACCTGGTAAAGTTACTATCACTTGGTATGGTGGCTTGATTAATTATACGGTAAATTGGTCATTCCTTTTCTCCAGCTGCGAACAGACTAAGAATATTCTACGAACACGCTTAGAGAGTCCGTTGCCGGGATCATCGAAGGCAGTGCCTCCGGAAGCCACGCCGCGGGACTAACTAAAGCACTACCTAACGATTAGTGGTGAATGGTGAGGCGGGACTGCTGGGGCCAGTACGTAGTGGAATTGGCCACAGCACCGGGAGTCTGGCCCTGTGGTAGCCTGTAAGCTGCAAGGCATGCTATCTACTACTGCATAGGAGTAGGCTTATTGTGAAGTTACCTACATATTATAGATGAAGAGCTACTCCGTACTGTGGAATTGGATTCTACCTTACTCTGTTAAATAGTGGTGAACAAGCTATTTGAATGAAGCCGACCATTAAACCTCCCAGAGTGAAGCTGTTGACGAGGTTTGAAAGCTCCAGTTTAAATTGATTATCTCCATGCCGTACGTTCTGGTCGCACTCTAGCGTCTTCTAGCTTGTGGTCTAAGGAGTGAGTCCATTCCCATAGCCAGAAATTGGGGATTGAGAGCGGATCCCTCCCAGAAGCTCATTTCTTCTTCTTCGAATATTCTATTTTGAATGGAGCTGATGGCGTTTCCTTGACATCATTCGTCGAAAAGGTGATGGATCATTTCTGGAGCTTCTCCTCCATGGAGAATTGCGAGGTTAGAATAGGGGTTACGGGGACGGAAGATGTACTCCGGACGGGGCCCAGTCCAGGTACTATTGATATTTGACACAGACGGTCAACGGGGAGCCATGAGGGAAATTGTTCGAGAAGCCTTGTGCCTCAGATAAATGACTGTTTGATTTAAGTGCTCCTCGGGAAAAGTTCTTGTGTAATTCTGCATTGTTCAAATTGACGAGCTTTTTCTTTCTTTTCACCACGGCAGTGCAGGAGTCTTCGCCCGCCGTTACAACGAGCTCAGGGGCTTAAAGCTCGGGGTAACGGGATCATGATACTTACTTACTCTGTTAGACATAGTCCATGTTGCCATGCGACTACTTTTCATAGCTCTGCCTATCAGGCAGCTATTGGTCTTGATCATCCGCTTGCAGCCAACCCAAATCGAGCAAAGTAGCAAGAGCTCGTGTGGGAGTCTACTTGTGTTGATCAGCTTGGGCCGACTAACTGGCCCAGGAGAAGCATACATTAGCAGTAGTCTATATTAGACAGGCCCTTTCAACCCACAGTGGCGGACCCTACGTGGAATCTAGCTCACACTCTAAACACGCATTGGTATCAGACTCACAGGCACCGGCTCAGGGGAGAAACTGTCACTCGGGAGCTAGGGACGACTATAACCATGGAAATCGAACGTCCCAAAAGAAATACGTACTTCTGGTATTGCCGGGGAAGTAATCAGTTTCAGTCTCAAGATGATGGTCCGCCACTCATAATACCCTATTTCAACTATGTAACGAGACAGTTAAGTTGCCGAAAAAGCTCCGATTAGGGGTAAGGGGAACACAAGATTGCAAGCAAGTCAGAGCGTCCCGACTGCCAAAGTTCGGTTCCTGCCCCGTGCTCTTGGAGGGGAGACTCACGAAGGAGGGGGTGGGGTGTCAAAAGAGACACTCTTTTGGCTGATTTGTGACTGGTATCTATACAGGGGGAAAGGAAGGCTCAGCAAGACATCGTTCAGGAATGGATTCTCGGAGAGATCACCATTCAGAAAGAGAGAAATTCGGACCAGATCACTAGGAACCAGACTAGACCATTACATGATTAGACTGATTGTATGTACTCCGTACTATGTAGTAAACAGCGCTCCTCGTGTATAGTATTAATAGATAGAGTGGGACATTTCTAAGAGCTTGTTAATAATAATGGATGAGAAGGAGCTTTAAGACACAAGAGGGTCCAGGGGCAAAGGAGGGACGGAGTGTAAGGAAAAATCAATAATACCAAGGCAGATAGACCAGGTAGACTCCTACTTGGCTCGAAAGTCGTCCGAATCAGTACGGAAATATAAAGAACAATCTGCTGCCGAATGCTAAGGCACCTGTCTTAGTACCTACATGATCTGAATATCTATAAGTACAGCGTTCTGGTTCCTCTCTTCTGGTTGGTCATAATTCAATATTGCTTTTTCTTCCTCATCTTATTGATTGTGTTACAGACCCCGAGTCTCAAATCTGAAGGCCTCCTAATTGGATTCATACTTATACTTTGTTGAATCATTTATCCTCTTGCCCCCTGTTCTCTTCCTCTTTGTTGCATCCCAGGACCTCAATCAGGAGGATCAAGCATCAAGCACAACACAGGAGTCAAGAGCATTGCTGCAAGCCTGCAAGTGGACTTTTATCAGGATCATATATCGATTTCTGTCAGGTTAAACAAACCCAAATTATCCACTACCGCGCGTCTCTCGATCGTCCCGTCGTCGTCCCCTCCCCCGTCAGCATCAACCCATCAACCCGTCATCACTGACGCTCATACTCATCCACAAGGTTGCGTTGCTTTTGTCAATCCAATAAAGCGTTCATTACCAGCGAGCACCGAAATATTCAAACTAGAGCAGTCGGATCTGTTTGCCAGCCGGACTCCTGCGCCGCCTCTATAACATAACCACTCCGTTTTACTCGACTTTCATTACATGACACCAAGTTCGACGGTAATCCCTACCAGAGAATATTTCGTCGACGTTTGTGCGTTGTCGCCGGTATTATACCGATCGCAGTCCTGAAGTCACAACTGGGATTGTCAGGCTTGTGGTTGAAACTGCAGCTACGCAACTGATAAGCATCACAAATCGCCCTGATCTATCGAATCTAGCCTACCCAAACTAGCAGCTGCATCCAATCCTTGGCGGTTTGGTTTCGTGGAAGTGGATTCGTTGATCTCCGGGTCCTCTAGTACTTACCTTAGTCTCGTACTACGGAATACCTCACTTTAGTTGCTTCTCATTGAGTCGCTGTGAGTGAACGGTACGCTGGCTGCCAAATTTCCTGGTGCGTGTTTTTCATTCTTGCTCACGACCAATTACTGTTGGTCATTCTTACCATACCATTACCACATATTACCCTCAGAACTGAGGACGGTAGGTGGGTTATGACCTACTTTAGGCTGGGACAGTGGTCAAGATACCTACGTTCCTGACCGTAAAGTACTTAATCGTAACCTATCTTTCTGCCTCAGGTGTCTAACATTCACCCCCTCAAGTCCCTCACTGTGGCTGTCTCTCTCCCTCTCTCTTTCTCTTCCCCCTCACTACCACCATCACAACCACATCCGCATCCAGTCTCAAGCTTCGCGAAGGTGGTCTGTGTTCCGGGTAGTGGCGATTTACCTTCCCCCTTCTCTCTTCTCGTTTCGTCTCTTCTTCCGTTTCCTGACGACCTCCGTTGAGACCGTCGCTGCTTTTGCTTCGGATTATTCGCGGAGGACGAAAGGATACGACAGACCCAGGAAAATCAACACCTGAAAGCCCCTGGTCTTTAATGATATCAAGTGTGACGACTGATTATTTTCATTCTTAGTGAGAGCGATTATCTAGAGAATCCTTTTTTTGTTTCTCTTTTCTTTTTCGTCGCTTGTGTTGTGTCGCAGATACACGCACGTCTTTATTTTTCTCGTTTTCTTTTCCTCAAATCAGAGACCATCCAACCGCCTTCTCCGGTGGAAACTTTTTCTGTCGCTTTCCCCGGAGCCAAAGTCAACCCCCCTCTCGACCAGGTCGTCTGCTATTATTTTTTCGCCAAACCTTTTTTTCCCAGTTCACGACGCCTGCGCCAGGTAGTTCCTATGTTTTGAGAACTATCGTTTAGGCTTATCGGGTTTGTTGTGTGGTGGGTATCCAGTGCCCACATTCCACGGTTGGTCGCTAGTTGGGAATTCTCGTTTCTCGGCCGCCATGAGTTATCAACAATCACAGGAGATGTATCACGACAATTCTTCTGCGCGTTCCCCTGGCTCTCAGCGTCACCAGCAGCCTCTCCACCGTCAGCCCTCACGACAATTCGATGCATACGGCCCAATGCCTGTCAATCTGTACGATGATTCAATGGCTCGCTACGACACCGGCCGTCTCGAGCGCTTGAATCCGTCATTGCACAATAACTCTTATGCTTATGACCTCCCAGGTTCTCAGACTTGGAATCCAAATGGGTTTGCCAACGCGCAGACTCTGGGGGCCATCCGTTCCGCCTCGGCCAGTCTGAAGACCACTTCTCGCACTGGTCGGGCGGGTTTACCTACGGTATGTGCTAACTTCAAATTCCCTAAAATATTATCTTTGTTATGCTAACTCAACCATACAGACCTGGCTTGATCAGCAGCCTGGTATGCCCAGTCCCTTTTCGAATCTCGGACCCGGACCTCTTCAAAGTGGTGCGGTGCGTTCCGAAACCACAGTTCCCTCGGAGGGAGAGGACGAGTTGATTCCGACCGCGATCGTTATCAAGAACATCCCTTTTGCTGTCAAGAAGGAGCAGTTGGTGCAATTGATGACGGAGCTGAACCTCCCGCTTCCTTACGCGTTCAACTATCACTTTGACAATGGCGTGTTCCGGGGTTTGGCTTTTGCCAATTTCACCTCTGCTGAGGAAACCGCCACCGTCATCGAGGTTCTCAACCACTTCGAGCTCCAAGGTCGGAAGTTGCGGGTGGAATATAAGAAGATGCTCCCTCTCCAGGAGCGCGAGCGCATCGAGCGGGAGAAGCGCGAACGTCGCGGCCAGCTGGAGGAACAGCACAGGCCCATGGCTACCTCGCAGCTTCAGACTCAGAGTTCCATGTCTTCCCTCACATCCCACATTCCTGCGACGTCTCCTTCTCCCGTGTCGCAGCGTGGCCAAAAGCTGGGTAAGTCAGAGCGAGCCAATCCACACTCCAAAATCTGTTTTAAGAGTTCCGATGCTTTCCTTCGGTTCTATCTTGCTAATTTCACTTTCATTGCAGAGGTCGATTTGAATGACAGCACAACTCTCTCCTATTACTCTCAGCTCCTTCTTTTCAAGGAAGACCCCAGTCGCGATTCCGTGCTCTTCCCGTCCACTCTCAGCCCTATCCAGCGCCGCACAGTCCACACTCTTGCACACAACATGGGTCTTGGTCATGCTTCCCGTGGTACTGGCGAACAGCGACAGGTCCAGGTTTTCAAAGTCGCACCCGGCACTAACGTCAGTCCGCCTCTAACCTCCATCCCGACTGCGGTTCAGCCAGCCGATACCGCTCGTCGTGGACTGAATCGCGCAGCTACCATTGACTTCAGCGAGGCCAGGAACGAGGGAGGGCCTGGTCCTTTTAACAATCTTCGTGGACAGACTTCCGGCTTCCTCGGCGTTCTTGATTCGCCTGGCAACTACGGAAATACCCAGAATCTCCGCGCGGCCAAGTCGTTTGCCGATCTCCGCTCGTATACTCCTTCTCCCGTGCCTTCTTCCGCAAGCTTCCCGGCAGCCTTGCAATCCAATGGCGCACGTTTACAGCATTATGAGGCTGTGACCAGCGGCGCGTCGAACACCCCCACCTTGACTTCAGCCCCGTCTGGCTCCTCCCTTGGTGTGCAACGGGACGACAATCTTTTGGTGAACAGTCTGAGCAGCCTGTCCCTTGGCACTGGAATCGGAGGGCCGAATGCGAGCCCCCGGAGATTGAGGGGTATGTTCTCTTGGGATCAGCCGGAAAGTCAGCCTTCCAGCGCTGGTCCCATTGGTAGTAACCGATCCATCGGACTTGGATTTGACGGTCAGTCACAGGAGCGCATGCCCATTAGGCAGCCTAGAGGCCCAATGCCTGAAAAAGGCTCGGGATTCCGCCGATCGAACGGACATCAATCGCGTGGAAGTGATGAATTGCGCACCAATTCTGGAGTGGAGATTATTGTGGAGTAAGATGCTGGACCAAAAAAAAAGCACATGATCGATGAGAGACGAAGACAACGGAACTTGTTTAGATTGCTTTGCCGCGAGACGAATACGACTCTTATATCACGAGGCCTAATCCTGATGTGCGATTACTGGCTTACGATTCGATGAGGGATGACGCGATGACACCAAGAGAATCAAAAGAAACTCTTTCTCTGATCTAGTCAAGTTTTAGACGTTATTTTGGGGCAGCCCATCAGGCACACTGTTTGGACGGACTCGGTACTTTTTTTTCTCTTTTCTTCTCAGAACACCATCGCAAAAAGAAAGCTCTGAACTTCTGAGACGCGGGCGCCTTGCATGCGAGAAAACATCCTTCTCTTTTCATTTCTGTGTCATTTGTTCCGATCTTGCGTTTGCGGCGGAAAGCACAATAAAATTTGTTTTAACTGGAGGGAAGTCTACGAAGAACGACAATAAGAAATATCTCATCATGTCTTTGACTAACACCAAGAGAGGTGGCATACCAGCATTCGCATATTGTTGCTTCTGTATAGGGGCAATTTGCATCGTTTAATTTTGATTTCTCGATTTCCATTTTTCTTCTGCGTTTCTTGTTTTAATCTTCAGCACCATTCTTCTCTAATTCATTCATGATTCGAGCTGTTTTGAGCGATACTGGACGGATATGTTTTATCACATCACGTCTCCCCTTCCTTCGCCTGCATATGTGGCTGGTTTGCATGTCAATGACAACGGACAAAAGACACACATTCAATCGGACATTTACGCAGCATTTTCGAGTTGACATGTCCAATCGCCATCATCGAACAACCGAGCAATTCTCCTTGCGTTGTACCGGAACGCTCTGGCAAACGAGGAAGAAAAAATAAAGTGTCGACCGTCTGCTCGAGTGTACTCAGCTCAATGGTTTGTATTAGGATTTATTCACCCGGTGGCTCTCTGCTTCATTTGCAATCCGGCGGGTCTTGTTCGAGGTTCTGCCCTTCTGTGGTTTCTGTTCCCTTTCCACTTAGTTCCTGAAACCGATGTTTTAGTTCTCATATCTCTCAAGGTCTCCAATCAATGTATGTGTTAGTTAGCAAACCGCTTTATCTTGTGTTTCTCTCTGTAGTAGTGATGTAGCGGCCTGTGTCAAGAATAGCACATGAGTACCAATCAATAGTGGACTGACAGGCGAAGCGAGAGTCTAGCACTGGAATTTACCATTACAAGGAATGCGGTGTAGGCATATATCATGCATAGTCCTATGCCATCCATTGCGACTATCCGTGATTCGTCAACTAAAGTATACAATGCTGAGATGGCATTATTTCATTCGGTTTGTTGGATATATGTTGTTAACAATACAAAATTTGTATGCTTGAAAGATACAAAGGTAAGCCATCGTATTTCGCGTACCCAGGTGGGTGGACCAGTTGAGATACTGTTCTCTAGGTGTACATGAGATAGTGACTAAAGCATGTGACCTACTGATACAATTTCTTCATAAAGGACTGAGGATAAATATAACAAATAGGTAAAATAATGGAACTCACAACACCGTTGATCAATTTAAAGAAAAGAGAAAGTAATCAAAAACAGGCATTTTAGAAAGACGTTTCCTACTACCGAGATATCCCCATAATTCCCATTACAGCGCCCAGGCAAGTCACGCAAACGGTATAAACTGACTAGGAAGATGGAAGAGCTGATTCAAAAAAAGAGATGAGGAAAGAGGTACGCGAGGCGGCAAGAAAATGGAGAAGAACAATCCCAGGTGCAGCGTGGTGGAGGCGCGGAACGACGATGGAGGATGCGCCTGAAGTTATTGCCGCAAGGATTGTCGCTCAAGCATGGCTGTTTTCAGGCACGGCCTCATGAAGCGGGAAAAAGAAATGCTGTAGCCGGGCTCATGAGCAGAACCTCTTTATTCATCATCAAGATCAAACGCCGTATTCGTGGGGTATTTGCCGTTTTGTTCGTTTTTTAAGCCTCGGACTTGTTCTTCTTCTTCTGCTCGACCTTGAGCAACAGCGCACGGTTGATACGTGGGAGGACACCACCGAAAGCGATGGTGGCGCGAATCAAAGTATCCAGCTCCTCGTCACCACGAATGGCGAGCTGCAGGTGGCGGGGCGTGATACGCTTGACTTTCAGATCCTTGGCGGCGTTACCGGCAAGTTCGAGGACTTCCGCAGTCAGGTATTCCAGAACAGCGGTGACATAGACCGCAGCTAAAATATGCGTGTCAGTGGATCAGGACAAGAGAACACGTCGATGGCGAAGATGAGGGAGTGGTGAGAATCGTAATCATACCTTTAGCGCCAACTCGCATCTTATTTTGCGTGTTGTTCTTCAAGAAACGCTTGACACGACCACAGGGAAACTAGACCAGGACTCATGTTAGCTCAAAGTATCCAAGCGAATCGTCAAACGAGGTCATGGATGAAGATAAGAAGATATTGGTCATCTTGATAGCAACAAAGTCTCGCAAGAGGTCGCGTCTTCTACGGTTTTGACATTCGCGATCCGATGAAACTCTTGACAGGCAAAGAAGTTCCTCGACATCGGACGTGAAGACGCGTTCTTCCAATGAAATTTTCCGCAGCTTCGAATTCATCACAAAGAAGCCGTTGCCAGAGATACCAGAAAGCATGAAAAATATTGTTGCTGTGCATAGTACTGAGAAACACACGATATACTGACCTGCAAACCCGCCTTTGCGCTGTGAGACTTCTGGGTTTTCCCCGCAGCATCCTTTGCACCAGCCTTTCCGCCAACAGACTTTCCCTTTCCACCGGGCATGTTGAAAACTGTCAAGATTCGGGGTCGCAGAGATGAGAGTGACGCGTTGATCAAGATTCAGATGATTTGGGCAACGGGTGTGGACGTTGTGATGGTTCAAAGGCCCTTGGATACGCGCGTTGTTGATGGATGAAGGAGTCAGAAATGTCACAGCCCATCCTGGTCGCTAAAGGCGTTGATCGTGGAGGGGCGCTAATCCCGATTAGGAACAATGTTCAGCTTCGACTCGGATGCTTCGAAAGGCCAGCTGAGAAGGCATACTGAGCAAGTCACAACGCCAGGCAAGGCTCAACTTGATCAAGTAAGTTGACCAAATGTAGCTTGTCTGTATCTTAGTCAGTAAAGATTGGTTAGTAGAATAAGCATGGCCCATCCATGATGGTGCTGAGACTTCGCGGCATGGCTGAAGCCAGCCCCTCAGGTATGGTACGGCTTTCAGCCATGTTTCTTCATTGTCAATGATCATCCGACATTGAATATATCTCAACCCATGTTGTCACTTAAGAAGATAAATATCTCAGATAGTCGTAGCTGAGTGAATGCTCATGTCCAGCAGCTGAGCAAGCTTGATGATGAGAATTGACGCTGCAGAGTGTTGTGGTTGTCGGGGCGCATATTACATAACTGAGCAGGTGACTTTGATGCCTTAGACCACCACTGTGCCTGAGGACTGTGCCTGAGGACACAGTCCCTTGACAAACTAAAGGCAATATCTTGTTATCAGGCCAATCTAAAGATAAGCTCACGTGCCACGTTTTGGCCACAACAGCGAATGGATTTCTCTCACGTGATCTCACACCATCTGGACAGCTGTTCGACTTTCTGGGGCTCCAGGTTGGCGCTTTGTCAGAAAGTTCTGCCTGCACGCGCCTCCCTCCTCGACCCTTCAGTTTCAGTTCCAGTCCTGCCAATATTTGATCTTCTCGTTAAAAAACCTTGTCGTCAAAATGAATTCTCAAGTGTGAGTCGTCTCAGCGCATTTTCTTATTTGCTTCTCTTTGGCATAGAAATCCCTTTTCCATCATAGAGGCCGACTAAGACTGACCATGCCTTTATCTCTGCAGAACTAACCTGGCCATCATCCTTGTGATGATGCAGCTGGCGAAGAAGGTTCCTTTTGACAACCCAGACGTCCTCTTCCTCGTCCGTTGCATATATCTCGCGTCCAATGTGATCATTCTTGGACTTTACATGTACACGCAATCCAAGATCACTCAAAAGAAGGGTACGCACTATCCGTAGTTGCACCGGGGATTATGGAAGAACCTAATTGAGTTACTACAGATATGACCACTCTGAAGTACGTCGAGCCTGCCCCCATGGGCAGCGGCGAGGAGCCTCGCCCCGTGACGACTACCAACATGGATTACGACAAGGGACAACTGCGCCAGTTGATGAAGTCGCAGCTCATGGGAGTGGGTATGATGGGTGTCATGCACCTGTACTTCAAGTACACCAACCCCCTCCTGATTCAGTCGATCATCCCTCTGAAGAGCGCATTGGAGTCGAATCTCGTTAAAATCCATGTGTTCGGGAAGCCCGCCACTGGAGACCTTCAGCGTCCTTTCAAGGCCGCCAGCAGCTTCCTGGGCCAGGGCCAGGTCAAGAGCGACAAGGCCTCCGTCGAGAACGCCGAGAAGAACTTCCGTGGCGGTGTCAAGGAGGAGTAGATATGACAGTTGTGGGCAAGAATTTCTTTCTTCACCTGTATTTATAGAGGTGACTTCAATGCAGACTTAGGAGGTGATCAAGACTGCAACGGAGTTGCTAGACCAGGACATGAATAACGGCAGGGTGATAGTCGCAATCGATCACATTGAATTAAGAATGTCACTGGTTTCCTGACCGCTACAAGAACATCAGTTTATGTATGAGGGCTCATCCGAAGACTTGTCCCCTTCAGTGTAGACTGTGTTGGATTAACTCCTTTGATATCTAAACGACTGTTCGCAACCGGCGAGCGTCAAGGAAAGTTGTCTCAAAACGCTTTGGTTATTTCAAGCAGATGCGTATGAAATGGGTGATTCAGCGATGAGAACATGATTGACATGAGTCGTCTTGGAAGTCTCATAAGAAGGATAGAGCGAACTCCATTGCTAAACAAGTACTCGATGGAACTATAAGGTCGATATCAACTGCACAAAAGTTGCTAGAAAACTACATCCAATAAATTGAAATCATAGTGCATCCGGAAAATGTCATGCAATGCTTGCAGGCGTCTCAAGTCTCAATTGAACGAGGAAAAGCAGAGCACATTACATCCGCAAGGCACCAGGCCTTCTACTCTTATCATAAAGAAATAACGGTGGAGAATGCTGAATAATCACTTAATAATCAGCTGTTGTTCGCGAAATTCCCTTTTCCGGTTTAGCATCCTATTTATTTACTTTTTGCTACATACCTGCTGCGGCCCTCCCTGCACCCTATTATAATTATATAGTTTATATAATTAACTACTATAGTTGCTACACTTCTTATACTTCTCCTAATATACCTCTATCACAGTTTCGCTGCCGTGTCTGTAAGAAATAGAAAGAAAATGATTTATTTACTTATAGTCGCACCTATAGTGACTACTTAGTATAGTCTTCATACCCCTATTACTTCTTCTCTCTATATGCTGATAGGAATTTTGCTCCTTAGGCCTATAGCAAGAGGTTTTAGTTTACTCCTACAGGTGTACATTCCTCTTCTCCTTCTATGAGTCCTTCATCTCTAGTAATTACTACTATTCCTATAGCTATTCCCCATCACCATAGTTGCCCTTAGTTATATTCCACAACTTCTGAGCCTGAGCCTGTCCCTAACAGCCACCCTTACCTATATCTATAATCTCTAGAGCCATTGCCTACCACTACAGCCCATTCATCAGTGCTCCCTCTTGCGTTTTAGTCTTGCTGTGATTATTAGAAAACCTCAGATCTAGGCTGTATGGAACATGCCTGCTACTATTATAAGGCTCTATATTAGATTATAGAGTGTAAGTAGGGTTCCTCTATTACTTCTCCTATCTTTATAAAGTGCTGTTTGTAAGGTAAAGTGTAATTAGAGCTATTTCATTCCTCTCCTCAGTCTCTACATTCCTATCTTACAGATATCATCACTAAGGTGATTAACTTTCAATATCATATCTATTACTATAATAGTGCTCTGTGTTTTACATCTGTAAACTACCATATAGATATGTATATTACTAGCAGCTATCTCCTATTCCAGATTCAGGGTGAGCTATTCCACCTGCATAGGCCCTAGAAGCTACTAAAGGAACAGCTCCAGTGTTCATGTAGGTATGGTTCTTAGACCTAGAGTATATAAATATAGTCTATTTAGATTAAGATAGCAACCTTAAAGGTAGAATTCTCTCAGAGTTAATATATAAGTTGTAGCTATACAACCCCTGGATATCTATTTATATAACTGCATGTGAGTAGCTACTTCTTATCTAGGATTAGGCCACCCCTATCTTAATCATACTATTACCAGAGCTGTAGTTAGTTATAAAGGTTAGTACAGACTATCATTACTCTAATCTGCTAATATTAGCTGAGGTTACAGCTGTCATTCCACACCTTAGCCAAGATTTTGGTCAGCAGACCTTCTAAGATTTATAGCTTATACTCTAGCTTAGTATAGATTAGTCTAATATAATCTATATTAACTCCAGTCACCCTTTATATATGCCTCTTTATTACATCTTAATCTTCCCATATAGAATACCTAGCTGGGGTTATAACATGCTGCTAACTACACTATTAGAGCAAGGCATGCCTGCAGTTACACCTACTCTAGACTATCCTGCTCACTATACAGCTAATAACTAGACTGCTACTAAAGGTGGTGCTCCTAATAATACTATTAAGGAGGCACCATTACCAGACACAAAGCATATTAATAAGACTTAGGTAAAGAAAGTAGGCTGTCTTATACTCTATATATAGCATGCATTCCATATATTCACCTAAGTAGATGCCTTTAATACAGCCCATTATACTGCACGGCTGTATTAGTAATTCTTGGTTAATGCAGGTGTAACAGTTGAGTAGGCACACCTAGCTTGGTTCATCCACTACTAGGATGAGATCTGTGCAGACCTGTATAATGGCCTTGCAGATGCTATAGGTGCTGATGATGCTGAATTCAACAAGGTTACAGATAGTGTATTAGGTCACTATATTATCTTGCCTTCTTCTTATATCAGCAGTGAGCAGTATATAAATGCCCTCTATCATAACACCATGGTAATTACAGCCTATTACAGCAAGCCAACATTCTTTATTATATTTATAGCCAACCCTCAATGGGCTGAGATTGAGCAAGAGTTATATCCAGGCTAGGATATTAAGGACTATCCAGATTTAGTTACACATGTATTTAAGCTGAAAAAGAGGGTGCTATTAGATAATATCTTTAAATACTAGGTATTCAGCGCAGTCCAGGGACGTGTTTAGATAATTAAATATTAGAAATACAGACTTCCCTATTTACACCTGTTAGTCTTCATAGAGGGTAGTGAATGGTTTCTTAATCTAGATGTAATTAATAAGATTATCTAGGCCTATTTCCCTACAGCTACAGAAGACCCAACTAGTAAGTTAAGTACTATTATCCAGTATGTAATAGTCCATGGCCCCTGCAGTGATCTAGACCCTACAGCCCTATGTATAGAGGTAGATAAGGCTATAGGTATATACCATTACACTAAGGGCTTCCCCATATGGTTTGCAGACCAAACTATTATTAAGGAAGATGGTTACCCTCTTTACTTTCAGCCTAATAACCCAAATGTGGTATTTCATAAGGAGGTTAGCAGTTATATAGTTACTATTAATAACCACTAGGTTATGTCTTATAGTCTATTTTTTCTGAAGCATTTTAACACTCATATTAATGTGCAGATGTGCCAGTCGATTAATGCTATTAAGTATCTATTTAAATACATCTATAAGGGTGGTGACTTAGCAACGCTATAGGTTGCAGTAGTTAAGAACAAAGTTAAACAGTATCTTAACAGCTATTATCTAGGTCTAATAGAGGCTGTATAGCACATCCTAAGCTTCTGCTTCTATAAGGAGTTCCCCTCTGTGCAATAGCTTGCTGTGCATAAGGAGGGTAAGCAGGCAGTCTACTTCCTAGAGAATACAGATTATATATAGTTACAGGAGATGATGCAGCAATCCTATACAACTCTTATAGGCTACTTTATATATAACTCATATATTGTGCCAGCTGCAAGGTGTCTGTATGCTAATATGCTGAACGCCCATGTATGGGATCAGTACAGTCAGGAGTAGTGGCAGCAGTAGTATAGGTATGTAATTAGCTATATATAGTACTGCAGCCCTCTTATAGGTGAGAGATACTTTATTTACCTACTCTTAACAGCCTAAATTAGCCCTACAGGCTACAAAGATCTTTATACTATTAAAGGTGTTGTTTACCCAACATATTAAGCAGCCTGTATGGCAATGAATCTTCTAGAAGATAACCAGGAGTGGACTACAGCAATTAAGGAGGCATATATATTTACTTCTAGGTATGCCTTGCATGCACTATTTATAACTACTTTACTATTTACTATAGTTACTAACCCTATAGCTCTTTAGCTTCAGTTTCATGGCCATCTCTGTGATGATCTACATCACCAGCTAGGTCAGATGCCCTTTACGCCAGCTTATAAGGGTGTAGAGTTTGATTTTAGCCTATATCTGCTGAATCAGGAGCTCCATTCTCACAACCATTAGCTATTAGATTTTAATTTACTATGCTTTACAACTGATTAGGCCAGTCTAACAGCTAATAATATCATCCAGTCTACTCTACTTAATAAGCTTACAGCTGTGGCAGACAACTTAGTGCCTTAGTTAAATAAAGATTAACAGGCCTGCTTTAATAATATTATGGTAGCTATTACAGCTTAAAGCCCTAACTATCACTTCTTTTTACAGGGCCCTGGCGGTACTAGGAAGACATTTCTCTATTATATAATCTACTACCATCTGCAGTAGTATGGTAAGACTGTTTTATATATTACTTTATCTAGAATTACAGCTCTACTCCTACCACATAGCCATACAGCGCATTCCTAGTTTAAGATCCCTCTAGATCTGGATGAGTTTAGCAGCTATAATATGACTTCCCAGTCTACACTTAGATAGTTACTACAGGCGGTAGACATAATCATCTAGGATGAAGTTACCATGCAACATTATTTTACTTTTAAAGCCATAGATCAGACATTACAGGACCTACATCAGAACAATCTATTATTTAGTAGTGTTACAGTTCTCCTTGGAGGTGACTGGGCATAGACTTTACTAGTTATAATATAAGGCAGCAGGGCTGCTATTATAGCTACTTGCCTGTAATATTCCTATATATAGCCACAGCTCCGGGTGTTGCAGCTCCATCATAATATGCACCTTCCTCCTAGTAGTGTAAACCAGGAGTATGCTAAGTATCTAGCCCAGCTCTCCTATAAACCAGTTCTAGATAGTTATATTATGCTGCCTAGTTATATTTGTACCATTAGTAGCCTTAAGGCAGTTTATGCAGCTGTTTTCCCTCTAGATGAACTATAACAGCACTAGTTAATTAATTACTTCACTACATAGGCTGTGCTTACAGTCCAAAACATGAATATAGCAGCTATTAATAATATCATTAGTAGCTAGCTACTAGGTGACTATTGCATCTTCTACACTGCAAATTAGGTAGAAATAGATAATATTAGCACTATAACTACAGATTAGTAGTACACACCAGAGTTCCTTCAGTTAGTTAATAATTCAGGTCTGCCACTATCTATATTATAGTTAAAGATTAGCATGCCTGTCATGCTCCTACATAACATCCATATTAATAGTAGACTCTGCAACAGCACCTATATAATCATAACAGGTATCCATTAACGCTTACTGGAGGTCCATAAGGCTACTATTAATAGTTCTATAGTTAATTCTTATATGCATCTGATTCCACACATTAATCTAATAACTAGACTAGGCTGTTTTCCCTTCATCCTTCATTATTGGCAGTTCCCTATACAGCCCTATTTTGCCATAACTATTAATAAGTCACAGGGTCAGTTATTACATACTATTAGTGTTAATTTATAGTCCCTAGCTTTCTCCCATGGCCAGCTCTACATTGCACTTTCTTGCTATACAGATATAAATAAGTTAACAGTATACCTCCTCCCTGGCAGAAGTAATACCCAGAATGTGGTATATCCAGAAGTATTATAGTTATTTCATAACTAGGTTAATAGTTAGGTTTAATAATATCTAATACTATAGTTCGCTTTCTAACTGCTGCATAGCCTTAATTCATTAAACTACTTACAGAACCAGCTGTAAGTATATCTATAAGACTAACTAATTATTATTATTAATAGGCTCTTCTTCATCAGTTTCTTCCTCCAGATCAATACCCTGGAAACCAGCCTCCTCTGTAAACTCCACAGCAAACTCTATCATGACCCTAGCAGCTGCAGCCATAGCCGCAGCCATAGCATCACAGGACATAGCAGTAGTTATTAGTATGCAGTGTAATCTTTCAGCCTGCTTCTAGCCCTAGTTAGTAGCAGTAGCTTTAGTTTAGGGGTGGGGATCATTACTAGGGCCTGCAACTAAAGTCTCCATAGGTGCAACTAGAGTCTCTGTAGGTGCAGCTATAGTAGCAGCAGTGGTGGTCTTCTTCATAGTAGCTTTAGTAGGTGCAGGGGCTGTAACATGTTAGTATATAAGTGCATATAGGTATATTATATAGTTAGATACTTATAGCAGAGGCTGCAGCGGGCACTAGATAAGTTATAATAGTAGTTAGCGCAGCTGCCCTTGAAGAAACCCCAGACCATAACACATTCAGCCTAGGGGCCATGGTTATAAACACAGTATTTATAGGCAGGGTTCATAACATCACTAACACATTGCGCCTGCAATACTTCCCAGTTAATAAAATAGGTAACATTAAACTTCTCTAGCAGATCATAGTTATCCTGCTATGCAGGCTCTCTCTTTAGCTACATTACTGCAAGTGCCTCCTACACATGGGAGGGCTTTCCATCATACACCTTAAGGTCCATTACAAATTCAGCCCAGACACTAGGGGGGCCCCAGGAGTATAATTCAGCAGGTCATCAGGTATAGGCCGCATTGCAGCTGCAGTATCAGTGGGAGGAGGAGAGGCATGTTTAGAGGGCTCAGGCTAAGGGGAGGATTTAGGCTTAGCAACAGACTCAGCAATAGACTCAGCAGCAGACTTAGTGGCGGACTCAGCAGCAGACTCAGCAGCGGACTCAGACTCAGTGGCAGGCGCAGAACCAGCTGTAAGGAGGGTGGAACCAGCTGCAAGACCAGCTATGAGGAAGTTAGTGCAATCTTCTACAGATAAAACAGAGTTAGTATGCTTGCATTTATGGACATCACCCTTCTTTAAGCTGGGGCTTTGCTTACTAAGATATGGCATGAAAGGCATTTTACAGGTGTAATAGGAGGGGTAGTTTAAATAAAAAATTTTGCATACCTAGATAGTTGAACTTCTGGGGGGCGGCAGCCCTTATATACAAATCTACAGCCTATTAATATCTATCTTTAATAGAGCTGCAACACTTCCTTCATACTGATATTAAATAGCACCTGGATATCACCTGCTATTGTCCCATTCTTTATACAGCCCTATTCAGTACACTATAATGTTCTTTTTGCGCCCTGCAGCCCTATTCATCTCATTGTTAAATACCCATTTCAGGTTCTTTAAATAGCATCCGTATATCAACTACTATTATACAGTTCATTATGCAGCCCTGCGGCCCTACTCATATAATTTCTTTCAATAGCCTGAAGTATTAATCCAGGCCAATATTCTTCCGTTGCTTTAGTAATCAATTGTAACTTGGCGCAGCCAAAGCTGGCAGCGAGCAGAGCGAGCGCCCGGCCAGCTTGTTAGGTTATGGACTAGTACCAATTGTCCGCCGGTTAAAGGCAGAGATTCCAAATCCCTCAGGAGACACAGGGGGAAACAAAAAAGAAATGGAGATAAGGGTAAAAAAAAGAGAGAAAAAAAAGCAGTGTAGCACATGATACTTTACTTGCAGCCGGTGAGAATTTCTGGAGTACGGAGAAGCCCTTCAAGCCCTCTCGAGCTTCGGTGAGAGACCGCAGTGATGGAGATAAGCCCAGGTATGATTAAGAGCTCCGCACATTCTAGAAGTCCTGAATAGGAGGCTGTGGATTAACATTGGTCCGATGTAGGAATCAGATCATGGTCCCAAAGCGGAAAAGCTGGACAGCCCCTCTTCCAGAGCGTTTTTGGTGGGATGTTTTGGCTTAGTGTGGTGCAACTGGACAAAGGCGTTCCGTTTCTATTACATCATCTACACAAGTTGCCCACCTTACCTTATGAATAAGAGGGCACTCCTGTCCTCCTTCACCCTCCGAAGCGATTGTAAGCGGGTGCCAATGCATCGGGAATTTCTCTATCCTAATAACCTAGGTATTCCGTAATCTAATACCAGTCTTTCCGAAGAGCTGGTAGCAGCTTCACGAGATTTGTAGGAGCGAGTAGCCGGCTGGACGAGCACGCAGCACGGCTATTGGTCAGTACGGCAGCTACCGAGGGGAGGCAGGCCACCCAAATATCGTGAGTCTCCTGCTTTGCCCGGTGTATGAAACCGGAAAAGCTGCTGAAGAGCTGCTGGGCGGCGCATATCGGGAATCTAGCATGCAAGCTGACCAGAAAGACCCGTCCACAAGCCATTGCCGTAGTAATCAATTTTTGTGTAGCAACACTAGGAAGCTGTAGTACATAGGCTGGAGTAGCTATTTGGCCTTTAGCCTCGTCTGTCCGCCCGGTGTGCGGTTTCGACTGGCGCGCAAGCTCCAAGGTGATCAGATCGTTGCGTCAGTCGGAGACAACAAGCCATTGCCTTTTCTACTGCCCCTCCCCCGCCGCTGGGGTTTTTCTCTCCTCTTCTACTCTCTTCCCATCATCAGGACTGTCTCTCTTTCTCCCTATCATTCTATAAAGTAAGAACATATCCATCTCCCCTCAATCCCATCGACAATACTGTCCTCTTCACTACTGTCTCTCTCTCTCTCTCTCAGCTTGACTAACATTTACCCCACTCAGTACCAGACAAATCTACACAATGGCCACTCCCAAGGTATGAAGGCTCTGATCTCGGTGAAGCGGGTTTGCTTCAATACGTCATTGTGCCATATACTCACCTTCTCTTGTAGGTTGGTATCAACGGCTTCGGTCGTATTGGAAGAATCGTAAGTTTGATAAACCTCATCCGGTGTTTTTGGATATCTGGAAGCTAACAAGCCATCGCAGGTCTTCCGTAACGCGTAAGTAGCAATTTCGAGCTACATCAATGGATTGGTTATTCTAATAGATTGATTTGAACAGCCTCAGCCACGGCCTGGTCGACGTCGTTGCTATCAACGACCCTTTCATCGAGGTTCACTATGCTGTACGTGCTCCAAGCCATTCAGCTAGACTCGTCCATCTTTTGACTCCAGAGACTGACCGAACACGATACGCATACTATAGGCCTACATGCTCAAATACGACACCACCCACGGCCAGTTCAAGGGCACCATTGAGACCTACGACCAGGGTCTGATTGTCAACGGCAAGAAGATTCGCTTCTATGCTGAGAAGGATCCCTCTCAGATCCCCTGGTCTGAGACCGGCGCTGCCTACGTCGTCGAGTCCACTGGTGTTTTCACCACCAAGGACAAGGCCTCCGCTCACTTGAAGGGTGGTGCCAAGAAGGTCATCATCTCCGCTCCTTCTGCTGATGCCCCCATGTTCGTCATGGGTGTCAACAACACCAGCTACACCTCCGACGTCCAGATCCTCTCCAACGCCTCTTGCACCACCAACTGCCTTGCTCCCCTGGCCAAGGTCATCAACGATAAGTTCGGCATTGTTGAGGGTCTCATGACCACCATCCACTCCTACACCGCCACCCAGAAGGTCGTCGATGCTCCCTCCAACAAGGACTGGAGAGGTGGTCGTACTGCTGCCCAGAACATCATTCCCAGCTCGACTGGTGCTGCTAAGGCCGTCGGCAAGGTCATTCCTTCTCTCAACGGCAAGCTGACCGGCATGGCCATGCGTGTTCCTACCTCCAACGTCTCCGTTGTCGACCTCACCTGCCGCCTCGAGAAGGGTGCTTCCTACGATGAGATCAAGCAGGTCGTCAAGGCTGCCTCCGAGGGCGAGCTCAAGAGTACGTGGACTGCTGAGCTGCTTTCACGGTGAATAGTACTGACGGGCTGTTATTAGACATTCTCGGCTACACTGAGGACGAAGTTGTCTCCAGCGACTTGAACGGTGATGAGCGCTCCTCCATCTTCGATGCCAAGGCTGGTATCTCCCTCAACCCCAACTTCGTCAAGCTCGTCGCCTGGTACGACAACGAGTGGGGTTACTCTCGCCGTGTTGTTGACCTCATCGGTAAGTTTACGTTCAGCCTAGTGCTCAGATCTGCCTTGTACTGACTCGTCATTTCAGCCTACATCGCCAAGGTCGATTCCCAGTAGGAATCAGGACGGAAAGTTGAAACTAGAAGTCTTCTGTGAAATAGAGACATTTCGAAGTCGGATACAACATGCCCTGCGGACAGAAACGCACTGGAGATCATGGCTCTGGGCATAAAAAAGCACATGATAACGTACTATTTAATGAAATGACTTGACGTTGCCAAATCCTAAATGCTTATGCTTCTTGTTTAAGGGCTCCCTGTAAACGTAGCATTATTCAGCCAACATGATTACCGGAGTGAAGAGGTCGGTGATCAGTCAGTCATTCCCGGACATAGCCGGGAAAAGATCGGCAAACAATCGGGCATCAGGCACGTGACGACAACATAGCTCAGTATAGCAGTTTGGAGGAGTCTTGAGTATTGTCTGGATCTTTTGGGCTGCTATACCAACTTTTCGCCCAACTATTTGTCCCAATTCCGGACAGCATCGAGATTTCTTCTGCTTTGCTTACCAGCCTTCGTGCTCCAGAGTGGTCTACCAATTTACCTGACGTTGTGATTTCTGTCAAAGTCACGTGAGCTGGAAGCTAGATAGGCCACGCCTTTTAGAGCTTCCTACACTACATAAACCAATAAATTCCTAAATCAGAACGCCTTCCTGCTGGCCGCAGTGATTGCGAAATCAAATATCATTCTACGGTCTGAAAGTATTAGATGTCATGATCCCCAGTGAATTTTCTCTGTACACTTTTTCCCCTGCCATCTACTGATTTGCCTGAGCTGGAGTTGTTCTACATCGTGACCCTTGTCTCTAAGCGAATAAGCTCAACGGCATCTATCTCTTTGTCTAGCTCTTTCTTCTCATATCTCTACAGGAGCTGCCATCGTTCTTTCGCAGTTTCACCTATCTTTTCTATCTATTACTTTTTAATCTCGCAACTTCCACTGCGAATCGTTACATTGGTTTCATTCCTTGCTTTGCTTGGAAGAGGCACTAGCTTTAGAGGATATTTCAGGGTCATTTGATACCCATCCCTTTTTTTTTTCGAGCAGATTGCGGACTCGGCCAATGACATGTTAAGACGACTAAGTTTTCAAGCCTAGGTTGAAATCAAAAGATCATTGCATCATCCTCCCAATGGCTATGGAACAGGATGGTGACACCCTGATGGGAGAGGCAGGCCCCCATCAACCCAGCGCTAGTGCTTCACATGGCCATCCTATCAGCAATCCCAGCGTGCCAGCAATTCCAGGGACTCTCAACGGAGGAACTGACCCTTGGCTTGCTCCACCGCTTCTAGGGCAGTCTATGAATCTGCCTCTGCCTGCTCAATTGGGCGATCAGCATGCGGCTACACCAGCTGCTCAAGCACAACCCACAGTGCCATCAAGTGTTCCGGAAACGTCAGCAGGAGTTAGTGCTGCTGTTACTGAGCCTGCCAAAAGAGCAGACAGCATTGTTGAGGAAACGTCAGACTGGTCTGAGGAGGATTTAGGGGCGCGTGTAGGGCTTCCTCTTGCATCTCTACCGTCAGGGCTCTGCTATGATGTCCAGATGCGCTACCATTGTGAGGTGCGGCCAACTGCAGATGTTCATCCTGAGGACCCGAGAAGAATCTATTACATCTACAAGGAGCTATGCCGAGCAGGGCTCGTTGATGACCCCGAGTCTTCAAGACCGCTTGTCGCACGACCTCTCAAACGTATTCATGCTCGCAATGCCACCGAGGCTGAGATCTCTCTCATTCACACCCCGGATCATTTTGCCTTTGTTGAAAGTACAAAAGGTAAAAGCGAATGCAATGGGCTCAAATTTCTTCCTACTTCAAGTTCTAACCATTACCACAGACATGTCCGATGATGAGCTCATTGCTTTGGAGCATACGCGTGACTCAATCTACTTCAACAAGTTGACATTTGCATCTTCCCTCTTATCAGCTGGAGGAGCGATTGAGACATGTCTAGCTGTAGCCACTCGCAAGGTTAAGAATGCCATAGCTGTCATTCGGCCGCCAGGGCACCATGCAGAACACGACAAGACTATGGGATTTTGTCTGTTCAACAATGTTTCCGTTGCGGCGCGTGTCTGTCAGAATACTCTCGGAGAAAGCTGCAGGAAAATTTTGATCGTCGATTGGTATGTCTTCCTCCTTACAATGAAACAAAACCTTGCTAATTTAATCAGGGACGTTCACCATGGTAAATAAGAATACCCGCAAATATAAGACTCAAGTATGGCATCTCATGATTCATAGGCAACGGTATTCAGAAAGCGTTTTACGACGACCCCAATATTCTCTACATCTCCCTTCATGTCTATCAAGACGGAAAGTTTTATCCCGGAGGGGACGAGGGCGACTGGGACCACTGCGGAGCTGGCGCCGGTATTGGAAAGTATGCATATTCAGAGATGTGCAAAATTGAGCTCTGTGTGCTGATACCCCGTCTAGGAATGTCAACATCCCCTGGCCTAGCCAAGGTATGGGCGATGGCGACTACATGTATGCTTTCCAACAGATTGTGATGCCCATTGCGCAAGAGTTCAATCCTGACCTGGTGATCGGTAAGTAGTTTGCTTCCCAACAAGCACCTACCCAGACTGACTTTAGACAGTTGCGTCCGGCTTCGATGCCGCTGCTGGTGATGAGCTTGGAGGCTGCTTTGTGACACCCCCTTGCTATGCTCATATGACACATATGCTTATGACTCTCGCTCATGGCAAAGTTGCTGTGTGTCTCGAGGTCAGTGCTGCAATCTTAAATCTCAGTTTGACTACTGCTGAACAAATTAGGGTGGTTACAATTTCAGATCGATCTCCAAGTCTGCCCTAGCGGTCACGAAGACTCTCATGGGGGATCCGCCAGACCGCTTGCACTCAACACTTCCTTCAGATCTGGCAACTTCTACTGTGAGGCGTGTCATGATGATCCAATCTCGGTATTGGCGCTGTATGTACCCGAAAGGGCCGCAGGAGCAGGGACTTTGGACTGATAGGTTGCACGGTAAGCCAGACCAGGCCCGGATCCGGGGCCGCGGGATTAACAGTCTATAGATGTTATTCGTGCCTATCAATCGAAGCAGCTGTACGATAATTTCAAACTCACCTCCCTATACATCTATCGGACATCGATCTCGAAGTCGTTCGAGAATCAAGTCCTGGCGAGGTCAGTAGAAACATACTCAAATGAGACACATGTGCTGATCCTACACAGTGCCAATTACTACCAAGCCGTGCCTCTTATTGTTATTTTCCATGATCCGTAAGATCACCATATCCCGCAAAGTAGGGAAGTGATTAACATAGAACAGGCCAGAAATCATGGGCTTGCCTCATCCAGTCACCAACAAACTCGAGGCCCATAACTGCTGGCTGGTATGTGCGATGGTCACCAGGCTCAACAGCGTATGCTAACAAGGGCAAGGCTGATTGCATGAAGAACTATATCGGATGGGCCATCGGGAAAGGCTACGCTGTCATTGATGTCAATATTCCCAAACACGTGACGATGGAGCCTGTAAGTAACATGGACTTCTTTTATGATGTTCCTTGCTGATGACCTGAAGACCACCGGAAGGTACGAAGACGAAGATGAGAATCGGCCTTCGGCTACCGAGGAATTGGCTGGATATCTGTGGGACAACTACATTGAGTAAGTTTTGAGCGCTGTCTCATAGGTAATGCAGCTAACTGTGTTAGACCCAATGGGGCTACTGAGATATTCTTCGTCGGCATCGGCAATGCCTTTTATGGAGTCGCGAATCTCTTGATCAACAGAGGTAGGACGAGCTTAGAGAATGGCTGAAGCAGCAGTTGACCAAGATAGACACTCTCTACAAACGCGTCAATGGTGTTATATCCTTTGTCGCTGAAAACCCCGTTCGAGCGATAGCCTCCCACACTCAGGTCTGGCTCTCAAGGTGGTATAAAGATGTGAGTGTTACCTTCTTCCGAGTAGCTCTCTGCCCTGTTTTATAGCCTCGAACTGACAAATTCGCGCAGAACTCACTTGTCTTTGTATCCCACACGCATGGTGTGTGGAATAATGTGGAAACACGGCGTAAGCCGTCCAAACGCTACGGACACCTGATCCAGTCGCCCAAGGCCGGACTCAGTGAGATGCTGATGCATCATAAAGACGAGGTCTTCAAGTGGATCGAGGAAAGAGCTGATGAAGCAGAAAGTGAAGAGGAGGAGGAGACCAAGAGCAAGAGTAAAAGCAAGAGCCGGTCCCCGACTAAGGAGAAGCCGGCTGAGCTTCCTCCTGGCCCTGGATGAGCGGTGAATAGGATATTTGGGCATGTGTTGGTCTTGGGATAGTACATATCATACTAATGTTCGCTTTTCTTCTTCTTATTCTTCCCCTCGGATTTGAAGGAAGCTTTGATCTCGAGGGCGTCTCACTCGCTTCAGCACGTTGAATGCGGGATGCGACGTAATGGAACGCCATCAAAGGCAGTTTCCCTCTGAACGCAATAGACCTATTAGCGTAAGATGATGTCTGTAGGTGTCTTGTCGTCCGCCATTTGATATTCAGGTCTCCAGTCTCCACTGCACTAACGACTGGGATGTTGCATGGAATCGTCTAGCTGCCCCAATAGTTACTCCCACTCACGGCACTCTCTGAGTCATAGAACAACACTTAGCCTCAATCCTTACAAGTCAGATGATAGACTCAACTCCCAACCCATGGATAATGCAAAAAAAAAGTCCCAAATACATTGAAAGAAAGAAGAAACAACGAAAGCCCAGCCCTATACGAGCTCAGAACGCAGGTAAGGCTTCCCGAGGGGGACCATGGGTGACACCTCACCAACCAGCGCATGGCAGTTTTCGGTTCCCTGGTCAGTTTCATCCAAAGTCCATGCGAAACCAACTTATTTTTAGATTCCTGGCAGGTCGTGATGATCTGATCCACTATTGACATGTTAGTGCAGATGTAACTGTCTCAGTTGGAACCCCGCGGGGTACATCATTCTCGTCATCGGCAGTTGAATCTGAACGAATAAGGCGGAGGGCGGTATTTCCTTCAGCAAATGAACCGCTTGCTCTTCGCTTACTGCCTTGGCTGGTCGAGTCCGACTGCTGTCCTGGTACTTTGCAGGTGACTGCTCTTGCATTGCTAGATCCTTCGATATACCATGACATGACCAACCGAGCCTGGGAAGTTGAGACATGCATTCTTAATGCCCTTTTGGAGAGGGATTGTCTGCTCATTGGAGGCCGGGGTCTACTTTGACTCCGGAATTTTAGTAATGAGACCTAATGGAGGACCAGGGGAATGAGGAGGTGAGTGGAGAAGTCGCGATGATTTTCAGGTTCGCTGGCCTTACGATGAGTGAAGAAGAATATGAGTGGATGGGACTCAACTCTTTCATGGTAATGTCTTGGATTGAAGGATGGATGGCCGGGGTTGATTGCATGATTTCGCCGGATGGAGCGGATGATACTGAGCCTCCAGGTGCAGTCCTTGCTCTTGATCCTCGATTCTCAACACGAGATGTCTCAGTCATGACTTGACTCGGGATGGCAATGCTCACGGTGTTTTGCCATCGCGAAGTAAGTCATGGCACCAACAGAGGTAGCACAGGAACATGAGCTTCGAGGACGGCAAACCGCCATCTATAAGAACCCCCGTCAACCACCTTGACTCTCGCTCCATCTTCATCTTCGTCTTCACCATCACATCGAATTCAGAACAAGCAATACTAAGAACCAAAGTCAAACATGCACTTCACCACCCCCTCCTCAGCCTCGCGGCCCTCATCCCCCTGGCCTCAGCCGTGGGCAACGCCGTCGTGACAAACAACTGCGCCGCCCCAGTCTACCTCTGGTCCGTTGGCGGCTCCGTCGGCCCCAAGCAGACCATCCAGCCGGGCAAGTCCTACTCCGAGGCCCTGCACCACGATCCCGCGTCTGGCGGCGTCTCGCTCAAGATCACCCGTACCGACAACGGGCTCTACGACGGCAGCCCCAGCTCAACTACGCGTATACCCTCGACGGCCAGACCGTCTGGTACGACATGAGCGACGTTTTCGGCGACCCGTTCTCTGGCAGCGCTCTTGTCGTGAAGCCGGCTACAGGCACCTGCCCGTCTATCTGCTGGCCGAAAGGCGTCTCGCCTGGTGGTAGCCAGGTTAAGAACTGCGGCGCGAATGGGGATATTGTGCTTACGCTTTGTGCGAAGAGTTGTTAGTTTGTTGAGTCTATTCAGAGTTGGGTTGAAATGAGATTAGGATGAGTTGAGGGTGGTGATTAATGTTGAAGTGTTGTTATGGATATGAGTTAGGATATCTTCGTACATAATGGATAATGTTTGAATGAAGCATATTGCTCCTTCGGTAACGGTTCCCCTTTGATAAAGAGAGACCATTATGCTCATAAGAGTTTGTGGCTTGCGCGTTGTCAATGATGAAGCACATTAGTTGATTTCCTCAGTCTATGGAAGAAGCGCAGGCACATCAGAAGACTACCATGTGTGTCTATCCAAAGTACATCCTGGATATCCCATTTGCGGGTGGGAAGCGGCTGTGTACATCCATCCCATACGTTTAACATCCTAAGAGTTCATACTCGGGCCAAGGGCAACCTTCTCCATTGTAAACCCGCTTGACGATATTCTATCCTCATTCTCCACCACAAACACTGATGCCCCGGTATAGAATGCTTGACCTTCAACCTGGACAATGACTGCATTTAGACCCCCATCATCTACTCCATCAATAGTCAGTTCCTCCACAATCTCAGCGCTAAAAACTCCTGCCCCGAAATGATTCGAAACCAAGGAGTTATACACCCAGCGCTGAGCCAGAGACCTTACCCCCTTTGCACAAGCGAGTGCCATCCGTGCGGTCACACACGACCCCGTCGGCGATCGGTCGATCTGATTCTCTGCAAAGTAGCACAGACCCGTCTCCGTGCCTTGCACATCATCCGTTTGAAACCCAAGCGTGTCGTCCACAACCATCACCGAGTAGAGGAACGATAAGCGCTGGTCGTGCGGATACCGAACCGCAGCCTGAACCTCCGGCAGACTCATGAGATACGGTTTGAGCTTCTGAACACAGCTCGTCACCGCATCGAGGTCAAGATCCCGCAACCCACCGCTGAATCCGAGCTCCCTTGCCTGGACAATGGCGTAGAATGCGCCGCCGTAGCTGACGTCCAGCACGATGGAGTCTCTGCGCCTCAGCTCAGGCCATCGGATCTCTGGCGCGATGGGGACCGCCATCTGAATGCGTGTTGCAAACGCAGGCGTGGATAAGAACGCCACCGGCCGTGAGGGATCGGATTTTCGCCCATCAGCCGTGACGGGGACCGTCACGCGCACCAGACCGCAGGGGCGTGAATGTTTAGTTTGACTGTCTGAGTGTCTGCTTCGAAGACGAGGTCCTCGCGACGCGGGAATACAGTGTGGTCGTGCGTGTCGACGAGGAATCGACCCAGTGCGATGGTTGCGTGTCCGCACATAGTCGAAAACCCTTCGTTGTGGATGAAGAGGACCCCGATGTGGGCGGCTCCGGAAGACACAAGTTCGGTCTCGGGGCGGATGATGGCGCCGTACATCCCGTTGTGACCGCGGGGTTCGAGCATCAGGCGTTTGCGGATGTGGTCCTGCTGCTGTTTGGCCTGGTCTCGTTGCTCAAGGAGAGTCCCTGACAGTGGTGGGAACCCGGAGTACACGATGCGGGTGGGTTCTCCGGTGGTGTGCATGTCGATGCAGCGGATGGGCTGGTTGGAGTCGTTCTCCCCGAGAGATTGCGCTATATCCATGGCAATGGATGATCTGGTATTTGTTATCAAGAGGTGATGTCTGGACTCGACTATCTGGTGATGGATGTACGTGATGATGCAGGTTCTCCGCAGTCTTCAGTTCAAGGTGGGGTACGAATTTATGCATTCTACCCTAGCAAGCATTCGTTGTTGAGAGAGTGGTTGACCGTTGCCGTTAAATACGGCCTTGGACCATCTCTGAGCGAGCTTCAAATTAGGAACCTAGGCCGCTGTTGAGTTCCATCTATTCTGGACAAGGAGATGATAGTCCTTGGTTCAGGTAAGCATACTGGCTGTACAGGGATCAGCCTCTGGTGTCTATCAAATGTGGAGATGAAGACCTGGAGGGACAAATTCGGAAACAGCTCCTGCTCGATCAAATTTTAGATGTGTCGACTCGTGTTGCTCCTGAGGGTTTGGTTTACCCACTGAGTGATTTATAGATCCGCCGTTGGTTACCTGTATATATCAGCGTTATAAACCGGCATTGTTCGACTAAGGGTGAAATGCATGGGCTTAAGTACTGTGTAGCATTTTAAGCAACGCTAAACAGATAATTTCTATATTTTCGTTCTCAAACATTGTTTATTGTGGCAAGGACATGGGCACATAATTGACTGTAGAACTGAAATCCTTGACTGAGTGTATCGATGGTCTCTGGATCACCTACTCCCTTAGGGAAGGAAATATAGCCGTTCTAAGAGTGTAGCCACTTAAGTATATGTTTATGTTTAAGGTCCACTATACTACCAAATTAGACAGGGCTATGTTTTCATAACAGAAACTACACCATCAGCTATCGATATTATATTCCCCAGCCTCTATTGACATGGTTCTGAAGATCTTCAACAATACGTTATGTGTATTGGGAGGCATAGTGCATCCACAGCAAACACACATATTGTTTTCAAGCCAACTGATTCTTCCTGTAGATACTCCGTATGTCTCAGACCCTTCACCCTCCCTTGATGATCAACAATTCGACATTCCTGGGGATGGCGAAAGAGTGAGCTCACTACTGGTTCACCGCCTGCTTGCCCGAGGCATTATGCCTCACCGCCTCCTGGAAGGGGATGTCTCGCGTCAACTGTCATCATCATCACCTCTCATCACCTTAAGTCAACCTGGAATTTATCACCTGCATATGTGATTTCCATCATAATTCTCCGTTTTCTATTTCCTATGGATGTTTGATTTCCTCAATTTCAATTACTTTCCATAACTACCTGTACATATCGCCCCTTTTTTACCCGTTCATAGACCTCTCCGTGCTGTCCCTCTTTTCTCCAGATTTGTATCCTTGCGTAATCGCGCAATAGTGGACAGTACTTAGCTCCGGGGCCACTGTTTAAACTCCGCCAGCAATTTGCCTAGCGGCTTCCCCTTGGGCAACCCTCGCGCATCGCATGCCTCCAAGGTCCTCTCCATCTCTCCGCCTGTGGAACTCCAAAGGATTCCTCTATTTCAATACTGGTCATCTTCGCTCATTCTCACTCGCGCCTTCTATCGCCTCTGCGGCGATTGCCCCTCATTTCTCCTCTTCGCCACGTCGTCGCTTGAATTGCCCTCAGTCTCTGCTATCACGCTGTTGGCCTCGTCACTCTCTTCCCCGGTCTATTTTCGCTCCTTTCTCAGCTGCAGCCGTCACCATGGGCTCCATCCAACGCATTACGGAGCATTTGGAAAAGCCAGAGCTCGATGATCGCTCCTATCGAGTTATTCGCTTGGCCAACAAATTGGAGGCGCTCTTAGTCCATGATCCTGAAACGGACAAGGCTAGCGCATCCGTCAATGTCAATGTGGGAAATTTTTCAGATGCAGATGATATGCCAGGAATGGCTCATGCTGTAGAGCATTTACTCTTCATGGGAACTAAAAAGGTAGGTTGCAAGTAAACATGTCGAATATCAGGTTTCGTTTGATGAAGTTCAAGTGACTGACTTCGTCGTGGTCCGGATAGTTCCCAAAGGAAAATGCCTACAATCAATATCTTGCCTCCCATTCTGGCTCGTCGAATGCATACACAGCAGCTACGGAGACGAATTATTTTTTTGAAGTCTCTGCTACGACCGACTCGGGGGATGGACAGCCCAACGGCACGCTCAATGGCACAACAAACGGCATAACTAATGGCACAACTAACGGCACGACCAACGGAACAACCAATGGAACAACCAACGGCGCCCATGCGTTAGCGGAGTCAGACCCTTCCGAGCCCCCGTCCCCTCTGTATGGAGCGCTCGATCGCTTCGCACAGTTCTTTGTGTCTCCCCTTTTTTTGGAGTCTACTCTAGACCGCGAGCTGCGGGCGGTGGATTCGGAGAACAAGAAGAACCTCCAGAGTGATTTATGGCGTTTGATGCAGTTGAACAAATCATTGTCCAACCCGGCCCACCCTTATCACCACTTCTCGACCGGTAACCTCAAGACCTTGAAGGAGGACCCTCAGCAACGCGGCTTAGAAGTCCGCAGCGAATTTATCAAGTTCTACCAGAAGCACTATTCAGCGAACCGAATGAGATTATGTGTGCTCGGGCGAGAGTCTTTGGATGAACTTGAGAAATGGGTCGAGGAGCTGTTCTCCGAAGTGGAGAACAAGGACTTGCCGCAAAATCGATGGGACGATGTTCAACCCTGGAGGGACGAGGATTTGGGCATTCAAATCTTCGCTAAGCCCGTCATGGACACCCGTTCTTTGGACATTTACTTCCCGTTCCTGGATGAGGAAACCCTCTACGAGTCTCAGCCAAGTCGGTATATCAGTCACCTGATTGGCCACGAAGGACCTGGCAGCATTTTGGCTTATATCAAGGCAAAGGGATGGGCTAACGGCTTGTCTGCCGGCGTCATGCCCATCTGTCCCGGAGCAGCCGCTTTCACCATCTCGATTCGATTGACAAAAGAGGGACTGCAGCAGTACCGAGAGGTAGCCAAGGTGGTCTTCCAGTATATCGCGATGCTGAAGGAAAGGGAGCCGCAGCAGTGGGTTTTTGATGAGATGAAGAACTTGGCCGAGGTTGAATTCCGCTTCAAACAGAAATCCCCTGCCAGTCGATTCACCAGTCGACTGAGCAGCGTCATGCAGAAGCCCCTTCCCAGAGAATGGCTTCTCAGTGGTTCCCTCCTGCGCAAGTTCGACCCCGACCTTATCAAGAAGGCTTTGTCATGCCTTCGGCCTGACAACTTCCGGCTGATCGTTGTCTCTCAGGAGTATCCAGGAGACTGGGACTCCAAGGAGAAGTGGTACGGTACCGAGTACAAAGTGGGCAAGATACCCCAGGACTTCATGGCCGACATCCGAAAAGCCTTGGACACTACTCCAGAGACCAGACTGTCGGAACTTCATATGCCCCACAAGAACGAGTTCGTCCCAACTAGACTCTCGGTGGAGAAGAAAGAAGTAGCAGAGCCAGCAAAGACGCCGAAACTCATTCGTCATGATGACCATGTGCGCCTCTGGTTCAAGAAGGATGACCGTTTCTGGGTCCCCAAAGGCACCGTCCATATCACGTTGAGAAACCCCCTGGCGTGGGCCACCCCTGCGAACTTGGTGAAATCGAAGCTGTATTGTGAACTTGTCAAGGATGCTTTGGTGGAATACTCGTACGATGCTGAGCTTGCTGGGCTTGACTATCACCTCTCCGCCAGTGTCTTTGGATTAGACGTGTCTGTTGGAGGGTACAACGACAAGATGGCTGTTCTCCTGGAAAAAGTGTTTACGAGCATGCGCGACTTGGTTGTTGATCCGAATCGCTTCCACATCATAAAGGAACGCTTGTCTCGGGGATATCGCAATGCAGAGTATCAACAGCCGTTCTATCAGGTCGGTGATTATACCAGATATTTGACCTCTGAGAAGACATGGATCAACGAACAATACGCGGCTGAATTAGAGCATATCGAACCGGAGGATATCTCGAACTTCTTCCCGCAGCTACTCAGCCAGAATCATATTGAGGTCCTTGCGCATGGCAACCTGTACAAGGAGGATGCCCTTAAGATGACGGACTTGGTGGAAAACATTCTGCAAAGCCGCCCTCTGCCCCAGTCGCAATGGCACGTGAGGCGGAACATTATCATCCCTCCTGGAAGCAATTATGTGTATGAACGCACGCTCCAAGACCCCGCCAATATCAACCACTGCATTGAGTATTATGTTTATGTTGGAAGTATCACGGATGACATGCTTCGAGCAAAGCTACTGCTGTTTGCGCAGATGACCGACGAACCCGCCTTTGACCAACTTCGAAGCAAGGAGCAGCTTGGATACGTTGTTTGGAGTGGTGCACGCTATTCCGCCACGACCATTGGTTATCGGGTCATTATCCAGAGTGAGCGTACGGCCGAGTATCTCGAGTCGCGTATCGATAACTTCCTCATTCAGACAGGAGAGACATTGGAAAATATGTCCGAGAAGGATTTCGAGGGTCACAAGCGAAGCGTGATCAACAAGAGACTGGAGAAACTCAAGAATCTGAGCTCCGAGACATCGCGATTCTGGAGTCACATCGGCTCAGAATATTTCGATTTCTTACAGAATGAAAGTGATGCGGCCAATGTCAGGGGGTTGACTAAGGCTGATATTGTGGACTTTTATAAGCAGCTTATTGACCCTCGTTCACCCACCCGGGGTAAACTTTCAATCTATCTGAATGCTCAAGGGGGTGTGCACGCCAAAGTCGAAGGCAAAGACCAGCAGTCCCGGCTAGTGTCTCTGCTTGGAAAGCAATTGGAGGGCGCCGGCTTTGCCGTGGATACGAGCCGCCTGAGCTCTGTATTTGAGAGCGCTGATCTCTCTGCTAGTGACGCAGATCAGATTCTCGCCGTGTTGAAGAAGTTCTTACTCTCTGAGATGAGCTTATCAGAGCAGCAGACAGCGCCGGTGCTTGAGCAAGCCAGACAGAACATTGGTCTGCATGCGAAGCAACTTGGCATTGAAACTGCCGACAAGGATTCCAAGCCTGTGACTAATGGTGTTCGCAAGCCCAAGGCTGATCGAAAGGTGACCTACATTACCAACGTGCCTGAGTTCAAGGCACGCATGGTTATGAGCGCTGGACCCATCGCGGTCACAGATATTACCGAGTTTGAGGATTTCGACGCCAAGCTCTGATATCTACAGAAGTGTATTCTCAGGTGTTTTGTCATAGATGTGATTTAATTCAACCTATAAGCATTTGCTGGGTATGTTGCATGGTTGAGGTCGGCAGTTCGGGGGGTTCATGGTGCTTCCGGGTTTGATAGATGCAAGTAAGAGTCGGACAATTGTATCAGAAATATACTGTCCAATTTCAGATTGTTAGACTATAGTGAAGATGTAACTTGTCATGCTCTCTACCTAGTATACTAGGACTTGATCGAGACCGACCTCTCCTAGCCTAGCTTCACCTCACAGAAGATTCTTCTGGAAGCTTCTATGTCGCTCCTTCATTACAAATCAAGATCATATGGCAGCAAGCGGTACGGGAGCACAGCAATCAGTTAGAATGGTGTCAAAGTGATCAACAATGAGTCCATACTGCTCGGAATTCGGATATAAGAAGCTGCTCCAAGTATCGAGGACGTTGATTGGGTCCATCGTATAGGCAAGGTACCTAGCTCGCTGCGTTATAATTAGTAGTACGTACTGCAGCTTATCCTAAGCATTTAGGTAAAGGTAGATGACCCAGTAGAGGCTACGCAGATCGTACGGTGATTGGTCGAGTCGTATTCAAGGTTGATTTCAAATCCGATTACCTCACGTATTCCTAATATTGATTATTCTATCATTTTCTTCCACCATAAACCGCTACAATTGGTCACTTCATGTACAATGGTTCCATCTCTTGTGATCGAATTGACGATTCAGGCTCTTCATGTATGGAGATAACGTTCGATCAACGGACTTTACTCTTGGATAATGTCCAAATTATCACGCAGCTCTGGTCATCGAGCAATGTATAAGTAGCAAGATGATTGACCTTTTCCATGATAGATTCAATCCAGTAATATCAACAGCTTCTTTCTCTCTACTTCAGGCATCCCTCTGATTGTAATACACAATGGCCAAATCTCACGCTCAGATAGTCTTTGGCGGTGGTACATTCGGTACAGTACCTGGGTGGTCCACCGCGGAGAAGGTGGAAGAGTTCCTTCAAGTCCTGGAACAGAATAACGTCAAGACCATCGACACGGCACAGATCTACGGAACGAGCGAGGAACTTCTCGGACAAACCAAAGCCGCAAAGCGCTTCGTCATTGACACCAAGCTCGGTGGTGGCTTCGTCCCTGGAAGCGCTACTAAAGACCAGACGATCAAAATCGGCGACGAGAGTCTGCAAAAGCTGGACACGGATAGTGTAAGCTCGCTTCCATTTGTCGTTTTGACTTCCATTGCACGGGCTGACCATGATCATAGGTGAACGTGTACTATATTCACTCGCCGGATCGCCAGATCCCGCTTGAGGAGACCCTCGCGGGCATCAACGAGCTCCACAAGGCAGGGAAATTCAAGCACTTTGGCCTGTCGAATTTCCGCCCGGAGGAGGTTCAGGAAGTTGTCCGCGTCGCCAAGGAGAAGGGCTATGTCCTCCCTTCCGTCTACCAGGGCAACTACAACGCTGTATCCCGCCGGGTCGAAACGGAGTTACTGCCCGTCCTCCGGGAAAACAACATCCGCTTTTATGCGTACAGCCCCATTGCCGGTGGCTTCCTGTCCAAGACGAAAGAGCAGCTCCTCGCTGGCGGCGAGGGACGCTGGGATCCAAACAGTGTATTTGGTCAGATCTATCATAAGCTGTACAATAAACCTGCACTGTTGGAGGCGCTGGATGACTGGGCCGAGATTGCGAAGGCGGAGGGAGTCACCAAGGCAGAGCTGGCCTACCGGTGGATCTTCTTCCATTCGCATATCCGTGAGGATCTAGGGGATGCGGTCATAGTCGGAGCGTCTAAGATCAGTCAGTTCGAGGAGACGATCGCGGCGATCCAGAGGGGTCCTCTGAGCGCGGATGCTGTGAAGCGGATCGATGCAATCTGGGAGAAGATCAAGGACGTGGCTATCTTGGACAACTTTAATGCGTGATGATGGCAGGCGGTCGAATAGTTGACTTGCATCCTCTCGACCCTATTGACTCTTTGCACTTGCTATACAATGTACTTCTTCTCCTCTTATGAAATATTTACACTGTACGCTGGAGACTGCACTGGCATGCTGTAGCAACGAGGAATCCTTGAATGGGATGATTTAATCAGCCCACAGTCGAAGACTGTCGTGTAGTATGACATAGTGTTTCCCTGATACGTGAATAGCATCTTTGATCCTCTACAGCCTCGTTTGCTAGACGATGACATGATAGCTGCCAATCTCGCGGGCATTCCTCGATATGAATGGCATCTCATGAAATATACCAAGGACAAATCTGGTTCAGTGGTCGACATCGAAAGCTGTTGTCACGTCGTTACACCTAAGCACAGCCCGGAATCCGGCCGAACGTTTTCGCGGGGCAGCTCCGATCTGCGACATAACAGAGCTTCGACATGCGACAAGCAAGCTACATATAAACACCTTCAATTCCAAGGAACCTCTCGCCTGCTGGACCACAGAAAACAGATTTGGTCTCCTGTCAGAATATACTTCACCCAAAATGTCAACAGCTACAGCGACTTCGATGCAAAGCTCTCATCCGTGAGTTCTGGCTTGAACCCTGTCCTCTTTACACCTTGAGGCGCTATTGCGTGTCTTCCCTTGCGCTCGTTATTTATACTGATTGAATAAATCCTACCAGACCGATCATTCCCAAAGACTTCTCCGCACAGCAACCCAAGACTATCCGTTTATACCCTCTTTCTAATTACACATTCGGTACCAAGGAGACACAACCTGAAGAGGATCCCTCAGTTCTAGCTCGTTTAAAGCGTCTGGAGGAGCATTACGAGAAACATGGCATGCGCCGAACCTGCGAGGGTGTCCTTGTCTGCCACGAACACAACCACCCTCATGTCCTGATGCTGCAGATTGCAAATGCATTCTTCAAGTTGTACGTCGTGCTAGGTTTCGAGCTGGGCTGGCCCGAGACTGTCCCAGTCAGCGAACAAAACTCAAACTAATGCTCCGAGTTCTAAAGACCAGGTGACTATCTTCACTTCGAGGATGACGAGGTTGAAGGATTCAAGAAGCGACTGAACGAGCGTCTGGCGCCGGTGGGATCCCAATTCTCAGGCGAAGGCGTCAATGAAGACTGGGAGATTGGTGATACGCTTGCGCAGTGGTGGCGGCCGAATTTCGAGACCTTCATGTATCCCTTTCTCCCCGGACACGTTACGCGGCCTAAGGAGTGTAAGAAGTTGTACTTCATTCAGCTGCCGAAGAAGAGTAAGTTCGCCGATTTCCACTGGGCCCTTTTCGACTCTTCAAAAGAGTTCTGACCAATCGCGACTTGATAGAGGTCCTCTCGGTCCCAAAGAACATGAAGCTGCTCGCCGTGCCCTTATTCGAACTGTACGACAATACGGCGCGTTATGGCCCGCAACTCTCGGCCATCCCCCATCTGCTATCCCGCTATAACTTTGAGTTTGTTGATGAGAACGACAATGTTGTCGCAGCCACACCGGGGGCACCTCTGCCCGAGCACCAGATCCCGCGGACCAAGGTTCTCGCTGGCGAAACCAACGACGGGCAGGACGCTGGTATGACGGACTACACTGAAGGTGGGGAGAATGGCGGGGAGAACGCGCAGTGATAGCATTGAAGCCCTTAGAGAATCCTGCAGCCCAATGAATGGTTCGGTATGTTGGCATAATATCTTTCTGACTCACGATGTCTCTTGCACATCAAGCGTAGAAACTAATTGGATTACAGCATTGATACTACCTCGCCTAGTAACTCCCATCTAGCTTTTTGCCATCAAAAGACAGATATGATTTCTTAATGTACATGGTCGGCGTTCCACGGAGCGAATGTATGCCTTGCTTTTTCTGACTCTTCTCTTCCTTCGGTATTATGGATAATTTGCATTTCCGAGCATCAATTGATGGGATTTGATGGTGTCCTTTAGAAGTCAAAATCAGGCTTGTCAGTGAATTAGAGGTGTTGGTATCCAAAGCTGGGTGGGCTCTTGAGTAGCTTCTGCCAAGTCGCCTCGTACACTCTAGTACCACGTGGAAAGTACCTCACTACGTAGTGGTCAAGGCTGGACGGCATAGGTAGAGTACCGAGTGTTGCATCGCATACGCGCGGCAAGTCAATTTCCTCGAGTCTCGGCTTCATGTGCTCCACCGCTCGTACATGGTCATGAGGACTGCTGGAATATATATGCCGACGCTATATACATTAGACAGCACGACTCAGCCTGCACCGTGCGTACTTTGTGACGACACCTCGTATAAGACAATCTAAGACAATCCATATGGTTGGCCCTTCCCCTGCAGCAGGGGAAGCAACAAGGAATCTTCCACCATTCAGTTGTTATCTCGTCCAATCGACCATCCACACCGCCAGGGTGATTCCTCAATACCACCGAGTAGGATGATTTAGCCCGGAACTTGGCGGGTGCCATTTCTCGGTAGCCGCCAGCCATCTTTTCTCGTCACTCGTCACCGCTAGAGAGCCAGGCACGGAGTCTATTGATTGATTCTCTTGCCGGAGTCCGGTCACCGATGGAACTATATTCCTTGGAAAACTACAATTCGACCAATCAGCCCCACACTCTCAAGCCTGGTTTACTGATCTTCGCGTTCTTCACACCTTTCTAGTTCTTGGAACGCCTGGGGCTTCTGCAGACTGCGGGGATTATCCCGGGAATTGGTGGGGAGCATCACACGCTACTTTAGCACCCTGGCATGTGGAGTAGTATCTAGTAGACACAACGGAGCACTTTGCGATTTTTCATGGCTGGCGACGGGCCAACATCCTGTTTGAGTCAGCGAGGAATGGGGAAATCGCCCGGAATGTGTCAGCTTGGTCGAGAGGAGCGCCGCACCATGTTTACAATGAGGCCGGTTGGTTGACGGCTGACTGGGCCTATCTACCCCGCCCTGGATTGTTCGCGAGGAATGCCCTCAGCTGACGAGCAAGGCGGGATGAATATTGGAGAGTGGAGAGTGCGACTACTGAGTCGCTATGTGGGTTCTGGCTGGGTATAAATTCTCCGCATTCCTGCGGATCGCTGAGGATGAGGATCTAGGTGTCGTGTCGTCTTCTGGGCCTTATCGCGCTGAGAGTCTGCCTACACTTTCTCTGAAAGGATTGTCTTGAGTATAGGCTAGGCATCATGGTCCAGTTCAGGTCTGTCTGTACGCTGGCTGTTGCGGCGTTTGCTACGCTGGGTGCTGCGGCGCCAGCAATGTTGGCGGAGCGAGGTATGTCTGACGCTTCCTAAGATTGGGCTATGTGTGGTGTTAACTATTAAGTAGCTGTGTCCTCGTCGGTGTTGCAAAATTTGTCATTGTTTGCGCAATACTCTGCTGCCTCTTATTGTACCAACAACATCAATTCCACGGGCAGCAAGCTGACGTGCTCTTCTGGGAACTGTCCGCTGGTTGAGGCAGCCAACACCAAGACCCTTTCGGAGTTCTACGAGTAGGTTGTTCCCATACATGAGTAGCTCGTATATCTAACAGAGTTGGTAGTGACTCCGCGTATGGAGACGTGGCAGGCTTCTTGGTTGCAGACACCACCAACAAGCTACTTGTGGTCTCTTTCAGAGGAAGTCGCACGATAGACACCTGGTTGGCGAACCTGGACTTTGGTCTGGACAGCCTCAGTGATGTCTGCAGCGGATGCTCGGTACACGGGGGTTCTGGAAGTCCTGGGAAGTCGTTGCCAATGCACTAACGACCGAGCTCAACTCTGCCCTTGCAACTTACCCTGGCTATACCGTTGTCTTTACTGGACATAGCTTCGGCGCTGCCCTTGCAACACTGGGGGCTGCTACGTTGCGGAAAGCAGGGATTCCTGTCCAGCTGGTAAGTCATCCCTTGTCAAATCAGTTAAGGGCGTAATGGGACTAATTGTTTGTGAAGTATGGTTACGGTTCCCCCGGGTTGGAAACAAGGCCTTGGCAACATTCATCACCGGACAGGGTTCCAATTACCGTGTCACACACACAAACGATATTGTCCCCAGACTCCCGCCCCGAGCCTTTGGCTTCAGCCACACCAGCCCAGAGTACTGGATCACGAGCGGTGACAACGCTCCTGTTACGGCGTCTGATGTCACGGTCGTCCAGGGAATCGACTCAAGCGGTGGAAATGCGGGCGAGGATGCTACCAGCATTGAGGCCCATAATTGGTATATCGGCCATATTGATGGTTGTCAATAAGCGCAGTATATAAACAGCTTTTGGATATATTAAAGGGCCAGAATAGCCTGGGCTTGGGCTCATGAACGAGGAATGAATTGATGACTTATTTCTTGCATAGCAACCATTTCTATACTGGAGTTTATGTCAAATGGTAGAATTAAACTGTACAGATATCTGGATCCACATAGTGGACAGGTGTGGTTCTGGGGAAGTTTGTTTGGTTTGAACTTGGACACCTGGAGTTTATCCCCAGCTGCATCCACTTGATCTGATCATCGGCTGGTGGAAGCTGGCTCGACGGAGTGCATTCTTACTGAATGCTCATTTGTTTGAATATAATATTAATTCTGTCATGATTAACGACCAGTAGCGCGCAATCCTTTCGAACGTCTTTACGCAATTGCATCCACCCTCCAATCCTGTGCCACTCCGCCGGAGAGCCGACTCTGCGCATTCTCTTCATCTGTTCAACACGCCGCGATGGTCGCTGCTCCATGCTGCTGATACTATTTCTGTCATCAGTAATTGCGGAATTGTCATAAAGCCCCCAGAGTCTCCTACGTCTACAACCATGCTGTTCTTCGGCGGCGGAGTCCAGAGCCCCCGCCGTCGCAATAAGGAAAAGGCAATCTTCGTCACCATTGTCATCGTCTACGCTCTATATTTTCTGTTCTTTGCGAAAAATTCCACGGACCGGGAGTCGGCGGCGGCGGTTCATAATGCGATACACGATGAGGGTGCGAATCGGGACTCGCGTTCGGGGCAGGCATCCCCGTCGCACGACAACAAGAGGATCGAGAAAGATATGGTGGTCGCGAGCATGAAGAGCGATAATACCTCATGGTTGTTCGAGAATTTCCCAGACTGGCATAAGAGTGTCTACGTGGTCGACGATAAGCGCGCGGAGTTGATCGTGGCGCAGAACAAAGGGCGGGAGTCCATGGTATATTTGACGTATGTGCTTTGCTTTGGTTTGTTATCGTTTGTGTGAGGGCTAGTACTGACGGCAGACGACAGATACATTATTGATAATTATGACCATCTGCCCGACGTGATACTTTTTATCCATTCGCGGCGCTATCAGTGGCATAACGACGATCCCTACTACGATGGAGTTCCAATGCTCCGTCGTTTCCAAGTGCCTTATCTGCAAAAACAAGGCTATGTCAATCTGCGCTGTGCGTGGACTCTCGGATGTCCGGCGGAGATCCACCCGCACACAGATACGCACCGTGACGACGTGCATGCGGGGGAGTATTTCAAGAACGGCTTCATGGAGCTGTTTCCTGGGGTTGACGTACCGGACGAGGTTGGAGTGTCATGCTGCGCGCAGTTTGGAGTCACAAGCTGGAAGGTCCGCGAACGGCCCAAGAGTGACTATGTGCGGTTCAGAAAATGGTTGTCGGAGACGCCCCTCAAGGATGACCTAAGTGGACGGATTATGGAGTACTCGTGGCATAGTATGTTTCCGACCCCCGGCCCCTGCGCCACAGTGTCTTTAAGAAGCAGTGCGGTGCTAACAGATATCAGTGATCTTTGGCCAGGGACCAGTGCACTGTCCCACGGCAGAAGAATGCTATTGCAAGGTGTTCGGTTTATGCGACTTGACATGTCCGAATGAGAGGGAATGCGCTGGGCGCTATGTGCTGCCACCCTACTCAACTCTTCCACAGGGTTGGCCGTACATTGGTTGGAAGGGCCAGCAGCAAGATCCCAGTACAGGACTTCCGGAGACCTAAGCTTAGATTTGCTATTGCTATCTGAGTTAGCTCCGGACCTGCGTCGAGACCTCTGCTCTTGAGAAGCAGACTTCGCCGTACTGCCATGACTGGCGGCTAGAGCAACGCTGCACCCGCTGAGAGCTAGAGCCTGCCTTTGGTTCGTTCTGGTTGTACTGGCTCAAAATGGACGTGCCAGTCTAGGTCAACCAATGGAACGTCCTCGAGCTTCTAGGGGAACTCGATTGACATGGCCCTGTCTCCGGTACATCATCTTCAAGGGCTGGATTTGTCGTCACAGATACGATCGATCTGAGAGAAGTGTGGTGTCACGATCTCCCCTTCAACACCATCAAATGCGGGAACCACATGGCTGTTCTGTACGAACCTGTGCGGCCTCACGAATAAGTATGATGATAGCTTTATAATATCCTTCTCGATGATACCTATTTTCTCTTTATGATAAGACATATACATAACAAGTCAAATACCAGTGAACATTCCTACTCTTCTCAATTGTAAACGTGATAGCCAGCAGCTTCTCTATCCGTGACATCGGCCGAGGTTAACTAACGGGAGGTCCCCGCATCCCGAAAGCACCTCCAACTCCAGCTCCGGCTTGTGTGTAGATATTCAACGTCATCATTCACAACAACGACACCCTGACGACCTACATACTCCAATTGACCCTACAACTCACACGCCCCGATCCGATCCATAGACAATAGATTCATCCCACATCCCACCCACCTCACCACCGCCAGAGCACAACATCCCCCCCTCCGTCCACCGGAACAACCAAACAAACACACAATGCTCATAATAGGCCTAACCGGCTCCATCGCAACCGGCAAATCCACCGTCTCGGCCCTCCTCTCCTCACCCCCGTACTCCCTCCCCATAATCGACGCAGACCTCCTCGCCCGCCAGGTCGTCGAACCAGGCACGCCCGCCTACAAAGCAATAGTCAACTACTTCGGCCCCAGCACGCCCGACCTCCTCCTCCCTTCGTCAGAAAATGGTTCAACGGGCTCACAACGACCACTAAACCGCCCGGCCCTCGGCCGGCGCGTCTTCGGAACCAGCGAGGAGCGCAAGCGCGACCGCATGATCCTCAACAAGATCGTGCACCCCGCGGTGCGGTGGGAGATCTACAAGGCGCTGATGTACTACTATGTGCGCGGCCACTGGGCGGTGGTGCTTGATGTGCCGCTGTTGTTCGAGAGTGGGATGGATTTGATCTGTGGGACGGTGGTAGTTGTGGGCGTGAGGGATCCGGCGGTGCAGATGGCAAGGCTGCGCGCGCGGGATCCGCATTTGTCGGCTGAGGATGCGGAGAATAGGGTGAGAAGTCAGGGGATGTGCGTGGGAAGGTCGAGAAGACGGAGTTTCGGGGGACAGGGTCGGCGAGGGGGTTATTGTGTGGAATGATGGGGATAAGGCGGATCTGGAGAGGGAGGTCTGTAAGGCGATGGAGACGATTAAGGCATCGAGCCCGAAGTGGTGGGCGTGGGTTCTGTTGCTGGCACCACCGTTGGGTGTAGGCATCGCGGCTTGGAATCTGGCAGTGAATTTCGCGACGCAAAAGAGCTGGCAGAAGAAAGAGAGGGAAGAGAAGGCCAAGTTATGATTTAGAACAGGGTGATCGGCTAGTCTACAGGGTTATTGATTTGTAAACGACTGCGGGATTGAAAGCAAGCCCCAGGGATCTGTGCGACGTTCTAGAGGGAACTATAGACTCTGTAATACAAATAGTTGGATTGAGCAAACGCATGTTTCGAGAAATGAGACTCTTGCTGGGTGTTGGACCGGCTGCCCGTACAATGCCGAGATCGGTTTGACATGAGCTGATCTCTCCGAATCTGCTTCTCTTGTTTGCTTTGGCAAACAACATATCATTGTGAGATGCAACTATTCCTGCTTCAGGGCCATCATGCTGGCCATCATATAAGAACATAGCAACTTGAGCTATACTCATTTGTACCACAAGTTGCTGGGAATTTATAAGGTGCCCGTCCCGTTGCACCCGTTGCACCCGTTGCACCCGTTGCACCCGTCGCTGCCTTCACGTTCCCATAGTTCCCTTGATATTTGAGACTCAGAGATACCTTAGTCTCACAAGATGCCTTGCCCTTGTTTTAGCCGTATGGAAGCCTCTGAGACGGAGCAATCTCGCCTGGTTCGAGTGACATTGCAAATTGACAAGACACGCTCAGTTTTGCCGAAGGGCGTGCGCCCCTTGGGCCTTGATGTCAAACAACCCGTCGACGGAGATTTGCGCGTTGCAGCGTTATTTCCAACCTACCGAAGAGGATTTCAATCGATTGGTGACCCCGGAGGTCCCACTGCTCAAGTAAGGTGACCACTGTTATGGGCATAGACAACACTAACCCAAGGAAAGCAGGCGTCAGTCTCAGATAAGGCTCAGATACCATTGCAGTCTCGTCCGTGTGATGCCTTGGAGAATTTCACAAGGTGCTCTCCGTACGACGCAAGATCGGCGCATTTTGTAGAAATCATGCCAACGTTGCTGGAAAATGGGCAACCCGAATTCGGAATTCATTCCGTTCCTTCGACTACTTCGGATGACTCGAAGATTCGAGTCTATTGGTCAAGTTCACGAGTCTTCATTCGACTGTGAGGATGTACCCATCATCTGCAAGAAATCCGACCCAGCGAGCGGACCGTGTGGAAAACGCAGGCCTCACATCATAGCCAGGGAGCTGTTTCCTGAAAACATGGCAATTGGAGGCAATTTAGGCAGAAAGCCAGGTTCAGCATCGTTAGGCCATGATCGGCACACCCCTGAGCACCGAGCATGTCCACTTGAGCCGATAAACAGTCGTCGACGGATCAATTTATTTATGCTTGCGTTTCTTCTGCGATTTTTCACCCCCACCAAAGCTATGACGACCTCCAGAAATACTGGATAGCTGAGACAATTTCACAGGTCTCTGTCTGGCCTCTTGTTTCGCCTTGTTGATCATGGAATTAATCTGTTCGGGATCTGTCGGATCGGTGGTAGCATCGGAATGCTGGATGGCACTGTTAGCTACATACTCTCCGGGTAGAACGAAGAAAATCACAAACCTCGACTTTGTTTTTGCGCTTGAAATTTCCATACGCCTGTCGACCACCGTAGACCAGATCGTCGTCGTCCGCGTCCAAAGAGTCCGCCGCGATGACAAGAGGTTGTGTCGCATACTCGTTGCCCGTATCTTCCGCTCCAGAGTAGTCGAGCACCCATTCGGTTTCGCCAGCATCTGCAGCTTGCCTGGCGATGGCTTCCCTTCGCTTTTCCTCCTCAGCCGCGAGAGCAGCCGAGATAGCTTCTAAATCTGACGATGGTGTTGCACCGGGACTCTGCGATACGCCTTCACTGGAAAGCCTTGGTCGCTTCGGTGTTGAAGTGGTGGACTCTTCGGCGGAGGAAGTCTGCGGTGTTGCTTTACTTGCAGCGGTGGCAGCAGCTCGTTGCATGAACTGTACAATACTTGGTCAGTCTAATCGAGAGGCAATTTGTAGAGGAAATTGATTTTTGGCGCACCTTCATAGTTAGTAAACGCGACGACATCGTTTTTCCTGGCTTAGAGCCAGAGGATGGAGACGGAGGCATGATGACGCTTTTTAAATGAAAGAGGACAAATAACACAAACAAAAGAAGTCGTGAATCTGAATCGCACCCTGGGCAAGTAGTACTTTGTTCAATTCCTAACCTTTGGCTTGATGAGTGAGACCCTTCTCAAACAGAAACAACGACCACATTAAAACAGTGACCGAAACAGGCAAGAAATTATTTCATTGCGAGCGGCAGAATTTCGCCGTAACAGCCGCAGGGGCGGCTCCCATTGGTCAAACAAGCGGCCGCGCGAGCTCCCGCAAACCTCACCCTTCATCCCGACTCCAACCTCCGCCCTCCGCCGCCCAAGACACCACACCTTTCCTTTGTGCCACCAGGGACCCCAATTGCCCAGCATGCTGTCCTGTGCTCGAAGCCGCGTCGCGGCCTTCTCCACGGCGTGGACTCCCCGCTTCGTCGCCCGGGCCAGCTACTCGACAACCATGCCTCGCCTGACGGAGAACCGTATGCAAGCCAACGACCCGACCCCGCGAACCCCCGAGCCCAATGTCTCTGCCACCAATGCTACCCCTACCGACTCACAGGGTGTATGGGATGCCCCCATGCGCGAGGAGCCCGAGGCCGGCGAGCGTAACCGCCAGCTTCAGGCCCCAACCGTGCCACTACATGGGCCGCTAGCCAGCAGCCTCGGGAAAAGGCTATGACCGGTCCTCGTTTTGAGCAGACCATTATGGAGCTTCAGGTGTGTAGCGACTTTCTGCAGGACTCATTGGGACGTGGACGCATGGAGTATATCTAACATGGATCCCCTAGCCTCAACCCATGGCCGCCATCGAACTTATCCACAAGCAGCCCGTGCGCTGGACCAACAAGAGAATCGTCAGCTGTGACGGAGGCGGCGGCCCATTGGGTCACCCCCGTATCTTCATCAACACTGACAAGCCCGAGATTGCTACCTGCGGCTACTGCGGTCTTCCTTTCGTAAGTTCTTTCTCTGGATTTGGAGCGTGGACACGCTGACAAATGATTCATAGGCCCACGAGCAGCACCGTGCATACCTCAAGTCTCTCCCCGCTACCAGCTACCCCCTCGAACCCACCGGTGATGCCGCTGAGGCGAACGAGACGCAACGTGTTACCGAAGGTGCATTCGAGCAGCGGTAGAAGAATGGTTATTTTCATTGTTGGCGTTGATGAATTGTTTCGATATTCTTTAGCCCTGCCGGGCTCATGTACAGATTTGTACCAGATCAATGAACTGTTAGATTCACTTCTTCTAGATCACTTCTTTTTCCCGTTTGGGTTATGGGCATAAGGCTGGGTCATACTGCTTGATTGATCTGCAGCTATGATATATACACCAAGCATTCATATACTATCAACAAGACATTTGCACGGCTAGCGTTGCGTCCATGCTTCCAATTGAGCTCTCTACATCCAAATAAGCTCAGTGACTTTCGTAGGCTGCACCAGCATCTCATGCATCGCAGCATATAATTTCAAAGCAATCATAGACATCCCCGGGCACCATCGAGTCACGCCTTCTCACCCTGAATCGTCGCAACAACCTTGCGCGTGTGCCGACTCGTCCGAAACTCCAAATACCAAATCCCCTGCCACGTACCCGTCGCCAACCGCCCATTCGAGATGGGAATATTAACCGACGCCCCAACAAGAGCAGACTTGATATGAGCCTGCCCATTCATCAGCGCCATTCTCCATCCCCGCAACGCAATTCACAAACGAAAGAAAAGGAAAAAACATACCGGCATATCATCCTCCCCCTCAGCCGAATGCCGATAGAGATTCCCCTTCCGATCCGCCGGCGCAATCCTATCCAGCGCATCGCTCATATCGGCGCGCACATCCTCGTCCCAGTTCTCGTTCAGCGAGAGCGCGCAGCTGGTGTGCTGCACGAAGAGGTTGAGCATGCCGACTTTGTAGTTGCGGATTTCGGGGAGTTGGGAGAGGACTTCGTCGGTTATGAGGTAGGAGCCGCGGGAGCGAGGGGGGAGGGTGAAGGTTTTCTGGAACCAGGACATTTTCGCGTCGCGGATTGAAGTTGTGGCTGGTGATTGATGCTGTTAGTTAGTTGATTTTCGGTTGGTGGGATGGTGTTGCGGGGTTGTTTGGAGGGTGAATGGGTGGTAGGTTGGAATTGATAACGAGGGATTCGATGATTGATGAGACTTGGAGGCAATTGACCTACGTTTGAAGTATGAGTTTGTACAGCCGCTTTATAAAATGTTTGCTGGAGTCAACTGGTGAGTTGCGAGTTGCTACGGTGGAGATCTCGCTGGTTTGGACATCGACGTCATTCGGCAAAGTCATACTACGGAGTAAGTCTGGGTGACGACGGAAAGGACATGGTTGTGCGTGGCCTTTGGGCCCGAAATTGTGGCCTTTCCACGCTGTGAATCGCCGCTTTTATGAGTAATAGTCAACCTTCCTCAGTCTGTCCTAGCGCTGTGAACATCTTGAGATGAGCCTGGCGCCTACACCGTCAGTACAAGGAGTAGAGCAAAAAGGACAAGGAGGGGGAAAAAGGATAAAAGGGCCTTCTTCTTCCTGCTTAAGATGTCGTTTTCCAACATGTTCATGTTTATATATTTTGATCGCGCAGCATACAGACTTATTCAGTTCCAATGGTTAGAGGCAAAATAAAGACAGCAGATATTGATTGGAACAGCTTCGTTCAGCAGTCCGAGCCAAAGGTTGAGGATGATCTCGCAGATACTACCAAGGGTTATGTCCGTCATGTCAAACGAAATTTCCAGAAGTTTACATCGAAGCTCCAACCTCCAGACTTGCTTATTGGCTGAAGAATATCACTCTGAGAGTGATTGAAGGTTTCTTTCGCTGGTATCTGGATAACCATAATGTTGAGTATCAGTCGGGATTTTTGGTTTTTGCACGATACTGTAGAATCTTCTGGTGCCAAGAAATGGATAGTCTCTTTCCGTACGCACTGAGGCGTAAGATGACTATGGTAAGGAAATATTCAGGAGATAAGGATCAAGCTGATTTTGCTAGCTTGTATGCAGCACACTAACCGACGAGTACAAGCTTGACTTAGGAGCAAAGACTCAGCCACCTGTCAACATCAATGATCCCCTCTTCAGTACCTATCATCCCATGGCTGTCAGCAAAGTACAATTCACCATGGTACAGTGTCAACACCAGCATAGTACATTGCGAAAGATGATGACTTCAACATCTACACACCCTAGAACGCTTATCAAGTCCTCTGGATACATGAGAAGCAATGACTCACTGAAATAAAAGGATGTCAAACTCTATATAGTGAAACACCCAGAAGATCCAAATTATCAGATGCTGCTCATGCAAGTCAAGCATAGGTTAAACAAGGGCAGGAGAAACCAGGGTGTCCCATAAGTCTAGTCTCTTACCTAGCTTGAAATCAGCTAACCTTTCAAAGACCAGTCTACACATACACCAAGCAGAATGATAACCTTAGCCTTTGTGTTATCCAAGACATACTGGAATATGCTTTTCTTAACAACACTTTGCCAGTGAGCATATCAAGAAGCCTTAAGATATCTAGCTCTATACCCATGTCCCAGCCCATCAACTCAGCACCCTAATCCACTTCAAAGAGAGCATGAAGGAAATTCCAATATTTCATCACCCTGTGAAAGATTCTGAGGGAAGGTGGATCACTCATCCTGCACTAGCTTACTAATATAATTAAGTAGAGGAATATAAGATCACCACTAGCAGGTCAGCAGGTCAGCAGGTTTAAAGACTCCTGGCTCTCTGTACAAATACTAGAAAGGGGCTGCAGCTAACTTAAGTAAGGAATGCCCTTTACCTGCCATCTATACATGTTGACATAGCTGTAGGACATCTTAATGAGCACTCTCAGAATATTATCATAGGCCACAAGAGAAGTAGTACCTTCGCCTACTATGTCCAGGTCCAGGATGATACCTAATCTGCCTTCATGGAAACCCCTGCAAGAACTTCTTTAATCAAGCTCACTACTAATTTAAGTTTAACTCATGATGCATCCATACCGCAAGATCTAAGCAATCAGCAAAAGCAAGAACTTAAGAAGAATCCTAACCTTACTAGTCTGAACTCTGAAGCACTAGCGCGACATGCTTTAGGCTAAGTTAATCACACTACAACATCAGCTATATAAAGCTCATGATATAGATCTATACAGGGAGTTCCAAAAGGCTAAGCATAAAGTTAGAGTGGAAAGAAAGAAGCTGCATAAGGCTGCTAAGGAGAAACAATATAAAGAATCTTTTAAAGGCATCAGAAATCACATCATTAAAGGTAACTATCAGGGCCAGCTAATTACTTTTAAGCTAGACACCTTATATATAGTACTAGAGAGAAGAGCTCTTGCAGACCTTAAGTTTAAGAACAGAGATATGTACAAAGTCAATGACACTAAGCTGGTGGAGGACCAGATCTAATCCCTAGAGATGCACCTGGTGTGACAATCCGTCACCATGTTCCCCGCGGACCTCCTTACACGGAGCTTTCTACCTATCTTGACTGCTTACCTCTCTAGGGCTGTTTATGATGGCACTGCTCATATTCCAATGGTATGGTAGTATTTCGATAGAAAACTAAGCATAGAGAAGAGGGGGAAGAAGTATGTACATAGTAGGGAGATATGTAAACAGAGGGTGGAACAGTGCAAACAATCCAAACAGCCCTGGAGAGGTAAGCAGTCAAGATGGGCAGAAAGCTCTGTGTAAGGAGGTCCATGGGGAATATGGTGATGGATTATCACATTACCCCCCCTTTAGGTTCCGGATGCCCTCATCTGGGGTTTATCATCATCAGGGTGATCATCAAGGAATACATCATCTTCAGCTACTTATAGCCATTCTGGTAGGCGCATCAGTGGGCCTGGCATGGCTGGATATCGGGCGTGGAAGTCACAGAGCAACATTAGGGAGTTCCTAAAATTTCAGGCTGGATACCAGGCAAGATCAACATCATGACTAAGCCATCTTACCCAGTACTAGAGCTTGTAATAGTGGAGTTAGGATGCTAGTATCTCATTAACCTCCTATTTATCTTCACTATTAACTTCTAGTGGGGGAGCTGGGTCCTAGAGCTGGCTAGGCAGAGGAGGTGTAGATAGGGCTTTGCAAAGCTTCTTAGGCGCAAAGATAGGGTGGACTTTTATAGAATCTAGGAGATCTAATCAGAAGGTGTTCCCCTCTCACTTTATAATTTAGTATAGTCCAGCAAGCTGGTTAGCAAGCTTCTAACTGGGATAGTCAAGCTTCCAATCTAATGTGGTAACAAAGACATAATTATTAATATTAAAGTTAATAGCACGGTGATGCTTATTAGCCTGTCACTTCTATTAATATTAAGCAGCTTCTATACCTCTGTGAGCATATGACCAGATCTCCTCTATGCATCTAGCCATCTGCTGCGCTTGCTTATGATTAACATCAAGGTCTGATGGCCTAGTAGCTGCTAACTAGTTAAAGGATGTGCGTGGTTCAAAGCCTCTCTTAACAAAGAAGGGTGATATCCTAGTAGATTTGCTTGGAAGCGCCGCAGCAGTGAAATTTAGTATAGACAGCCACTGGTCCCAGTCATCCTGGTAATAATTGATGAATAATTATAATCACTATGTAATCCACTGGTTCATGACTTCTATTTGACTATTAGTCTGCAGATGATGTCCTAATAATAGCTTAAGGTGGATCTGTAAGACCTTACACAGTTCATCCCAGAAATCTGAGATGAACTGACCTCCCCTATCTAAGATAATTATTTCCAGTAAGCCAGTCCATGGGTAAATATAAGTAATAAAGAGACACGCCATGTCATGAGTAGTAGTTATCTTATAATAAGGGATGGCAAAGGCTCTCTTCCCTAGTTAGTCCACTATAACAAACACAGTGTCAAAACCTATCTTAGAGCGTAGGAATGAATGGAAATCCATAGCAATATATTGCCAAGGTTGGTTAGGGATTAGAAGGGGCTGTAGTAGACCTGGTGGAGGGTCTCTATGCATCTTTATTTAATAGCAGACAAGGTAATTATCTACATAGTAGTCCACATCCTGTCTCTAGGAAGTCTAATAGTAGCAAGCATGGACAAGTCTCTTTATCTTAGCCTTACCTAGGTGTGCGGAAGATAGTGGGTGGTGGATTTTATCTAGTAGGCGAGCGCGTAGGTCACCTTTATTAGGCACCACTAGGTGTCCTTAGAAGAGTAGAAGTCTATCTTAGAGTTCCTATTGGTCACTACCCACCCATGTAAGCTCTCACTTAGGCTGGAGGCTGTTATATAGTTAATTTACTTTAGATATCTAATCCACTATTAACATCAGGCTGGGGGTAATAGCTGCTAAGATTTAGGGGTTAAGGTGGTCTAGCTTGAATATTAACTAAATTTAGTAATTATTAGTCCCTTCCAGGTCTTGCAGCCTGGAGAGTATGTTAGCTAGCATGTTAAGCTTCCCTGGCTGGAAAGTAATAAGGAAGCAGAAGCTAGATAGGAACTCATTCCATTAGGCCTGTTAGGGGTTTAGTTGCTGTTTCTACATGAAATATTATAATGCTTAGTAGTCTATAAATATCTTAAATAGTTCAGCTCTTTATAGGCCCTGCAGCTTAGCTTGCCATTCTTCTAAAGCACATATAATAGCTAATAATTCTTAGTTATAGATGCTGTAGTTACGCTCCACTAGATTCATGGTTTTAGAATAGTAGGTAATAGGATGCTACTCTTCCCCCTGCTGCTAAGAGAGTATGCTGGCAACTGTACTGTCAGAGGCATCTATCTCCAGCTTTATGAGTAAGGACAGGTCATAATAGGTGAGAAGCAGAGCTTCTGTAAGGGTAACCTTTAAATAGCAGAACATCTTCTCACAGTTATCATTCCATGTAAAGGGAACATCCTTCCTCATTAATGTAACTAGGGGTTTAGCAACACGACTATACTCCTGTATGAACCTCTAATAGAAGTTGCAGAAACCTAGAAATGACTAGACCCCCTCACAGTGGTGGGAGTCTTCTACTTCTATACTATAATAACCTTTTCTAGGTCAACCTGGATGCTGTCTATTAAGATAATGAAGCTAAGATACCACATCTTTATTACATGGAATTTATATTTCTTTATTAAGGCTTATAGGCCGTGCTCCTGTAAGCACTGTAGAACAGCACAGATATAGAGCTGGTGGTCTAACTTATTGTTGGAATAGATCAGTAGGTTGTTGATAAATACAGTTAGATATTGATCTAGGCAATCCATGAAAATGCTATTCACAAAGTGCTAGAATATAGCTAGTCTATTAGTGAGTCTAAAGGGCATTACCTTATATTTGAAGCTGCCATATCATGAGTGGAATGTAGTGAGGTCCTCTAAGGCTAGGTCCATGCAAATCCAATAAAAACCCTGGCAGATGTCTAGCTTGGTGAAGATCTTTGCTTTAGAGATACACTCTAAAATCTTATTAATTAAGGGGAGAGGGTAACAGTCCTTATGTATTATGGTATTTAGTTTGCAGTAGTTAATATAGAAATATAGTCCTCCACCTGGCTTTTCCACTATAAGAATAGGAGAAGTAAAGGGAGCATTACTAGGTATAATGAATCCCTTATAGAGGTTGTCTAGTATATATTCCCTTACTACTTCCAATTCTTCTGCATTTATCTTATATAGGGGCCTGTAGCCAACTGCATTCTCCTATTCTAGTTTAACTTTATGGTCAAATTCCCCGCGGTAGGGAGGTAAAGTATTAGAATTGTGTTTAGAGAAAACATTAACTAGGTCCTAATAAGGTTCTAGTAGGACTTGCTTAATCTCATCTTCAGCAATTGCTGGACTATGGTTGGTTAACTAAGATATTAAAGACTAAGCTGTAATAGTCAGCCGCTGAGGGAGGGAAAGGGGTTATTTACCCTATTTCTTATTAATTAGTTTGTTAAGCTCATGGAGGGAAGATAAGAAGATAGTGGCATCTTTCTTATATATATATTAGTAGAAGGCTACTGCGCCTATTATAGTAATATTAATAACAGTCTTGCTCAGTGGGTAGGTAGGTTATGATATTAGTTCTATGCCTCTTCCTTATAGGGCTTATTCTATCTTAAGGGCGTAATACTGCTAATTAATTTCCTCTATTCTTGTGGGTTAGTATCATCTAGTCTTATAGAAAGGTGAAGTAGTGGTTATTAGTGTTGCTAGGTCAGGCTCCTTAGGGGAATAGGGCTTAGGCACCTCCTTAGGAGCTATGGAAGGAAGCACTAGGGACTGAATATATAAGTATTTAGAGGTATCCAGGGACCCTTAGATTATTCTAGAAAAGGGGTGCTATAACCTTGTGCTATGGCCCTGTGGTTCTCCTATCAAGCTGTATGTATTTAAAGGCTTGGTTGCTGCCCTGGGAAGAACCATAGGGCTAGGGGTGGTTGGGGAGAGAAGAGAAGATGGAGCTGAGGGAGGGAAGATATCCCTTTTATACCCTGCCTATTACCTAGCGCGGCGCACCATGTTATGTTAGTAATCTTAGTTAATAGGTTACCTAATTAGGAAGTTATGAGGGACCTCCTAGTTCATCTATATAGCTATCTTATCTTGGTAGGTGGGTGGCGAAGACCAGATTAACTATTTCCCTATATAATCCACTAGTATGTAGTGTTCCGCGAGCCACATCCTTTCTAGTATAATATTATAGCATCCTAGGTCTAGTATAAGAAATGGCATCTATCTTATAATATGATTATCCATGGCCATAGTTAATATGATGATATGGGTGAGGGGAATAGACTGCCTTTTATTAAACCCTGTAACTATATACTCCCTTTCTAGGGGCACAGTAGGTATTCTAAAATATTAAGATATCTGGATAGCTAAGGAAGTGGTCATATATGTGTACATATTTACTCTAGTATTAACTAGGGAGCTCATAAATACTGAGAATCTATTAATAAGGATAAGAGATTTTAATTAGAAACTATCTTCTTTGTCACCTAATAGATTCCGTAAGTCTAAGTTATATAAGTCAACTAATTTTGTGCCTAAGAAGGAGACTTCTCCTAGGCATCCTTATTTTCTGGTTTAGGAGTGGGCTTAATAGGTCATTCTAATACTTTGAGCTACGCAGCCTGCTTTGTAGGGCAGCTACAGCTAGTATATCTAACCTAAAAGCATGTAAAGTATTTACCCTCACTTATAAGATACTTCCTAGTCTCATTGTCAAGGTTACTAGGAGCTAGGGAAGCTGTAGCAGTACAGCTATGAGCAGTAGTATTATCTATAGAGGGAGTGGCTGCAGCTGGGGTAGTAGCATAAGATATTACTCTAGTCCCTCTAGTTTAAGTATTGGCGCTGCTATTTAAATAAGCCTTAATTCTCTCTATATTCTTAATATTTATTGCTATACAGCTGCAGTAGTCCATGAACTCCTAGAAGGTCTTATTATTATTATTATATA